CACGAGAAGGACGGCCAGCCAGTAGTAAAGATGGGAGGATGCCCTGTCGTTGGTGGCGCCAACAATCTTTTGCAGGACAATCGGCCCAACCAATTCCAGCAGTCGCAGCACCAGCCCCAACACCCCCGCGACCGCAAACCATGCACCGTACACGTTGGCACACGCGCGAAACACGGACTTCGAGCGCCCAAACGCCGTGAGAAAGCGTTTGGTGTTGGACTCTGCAGTGTTGGCGGCTTCCAACTGCCAAATATCCTCGATGTTGAGGGCATGTTCCAGGTGCACCAACGGTGTACACCACGTGAAGAACACTTTGGAGAACCACGAAGCAGCCTCACGAGGATGCACGATAGACGCGGCCCCGCCAAAGGTGGAGTATTTTGGTTGGTTTGAGCTCAACATTGCCAAACCCAAAACGGGACTCTGTCGAAGAATGTGGGTTTGAAGTGAAAGTTCAAACCCCGTTCGACGTCTGTTCGGCAGCACATTTGGAGAAAATGCGTTGTCGCGAGTTGATTCGTTCAGTAAGTACACATGCGACATTTCTCCGTTTGGTACGAGCGACTTGTTCGTTAAACTGGCAGGACTGTCCTCAATTTAGGATTTAGATTCTAACAGTAAATCGGATGTAAAATCTAACTGTAAATCCTAAGTTGTTGCGGCGAGGGAATTGCTCTTGGATTTACTTCGAAGTACGGTATGATCTATGATGTTGTTGTGACGAGTTACAGTAACGTTACTCTTTTTTTATGTAAGGTATTGTTATGAAATATTGTGAATTCGCCATAAACTTCCAAAATTCGCGCGATTTGTTCAATCAATATTGAATCACGCTCGAATTCTGATTGGTTGAATATACTTGTCCATTCTGTAAGAGCCAATCAAATCCACTCGAATCTCGCCGCCGAAGCGTTGATTCGATTCGGCGGCGAGATTCGATTCGACGGGGTCTGGAAATTCGTATCGAATCCACAATACTTCGAGGTACTATTATTAATAGTGTAGTATTTCACAGCATGTGATGTATATGATGAATCGTTCATGTCAATAGACTTGATAGACTTGAAATATAATCGCGAGTTGTTCATATGAAACGTATGAAATGAACTACGCTCGTTTCGACTCGTTGCTTTAGGAATCATGTTCAACGTCGGTTAACGTTAACAAGTTGGAAGTTTCATTCTGCAGCAACTTTGGCTGGAGGGGAGAGAAGTGGCAGACGTGCAATCTTGGAGTAATTCCCTTGTTGGGTGGGCCGAGTGCGGGCAAACAGTGCAAGTCCGACCAGCGCCATGGGCACCCCCAAGTCTGCCGTCCACCACATGCAACGAGGTCCGTATGTGTTGTAGACATAACCCCCCGCGAGGGTACCCACGCCACGTCCCAGGCCATTCAGCACTGAGTTGAGTAGCCCCATCATCGTGCCTTCGGTGCCAGGAGGCGCGGCTTCGTAAACGTACTGAGTGCACGCCGCCCAAGCCAAGGCAAATGTGACGCCGTGTAGGAGCTCAAACGGCAGGGCCATCCAAGCGCTGGTCATCACGGCGTAGCATGTGATGCGAGCGCCGTAGGCTAAGATGGACAGCAGCAGCGTGTATACAATCCCAATGCGCTTGACAATGGACTCCGCGAAAAAGAACGCAGGGAGCTCCGACAACGTCTCCAGCCAAATCGCTGTACCAACGATAGTCGTCGAGTTGCCAGACAGTTCGTACAGGTTCAACGAGATGAACGACGCGATAACACCGACCATAATCCCCATGAGCAGAACCACAACAAGCAGCAGCATGAGGTCGGCTTGACAACACACATAGCGCAAGCTGTGCGCAAACGACGATGGCAACGCGGAAGGATCGGTGGGGTGATCATGGTGATGGGGTTTGGGGGCTGGAAGGAAACTCAACGCATAGAGATTGGGGACGAGGAGGATCAAGTGGAGGTGGAAGGCCCAGGAGATGCCATAGGCATTCACGACCAAGCCCGTGCAGAATGCACCAACGCCCCATCCTATGGCCCCAAAGAGCCGCTGCTTACCGTATTCCCCTCCCACGCGCTGAACGAGGGCCATCACTGCTTGATCCATGAGCGAGGCCGTGGGGTTCATTTGAAAATTGGCCAAGAACACAACCAAGCAAGTGACGGCGAAGCTGCTGCTTGTGAATTGAATCACGTACATCAACCCCGTGCCGGAAACCAGGCAAATGATGTGCACCCAGCGCTGGCGGCCGACCAAGTCCGCCACAGCACCCCAGAGCGGCGGGGCAAGCATCGAACACACGCATGGAATGGCGGCAAGAACGCCGATTTGAAGCTTGTCGAAGTACGCATTGTAGAAGACGGGTAGGTAGATGACGATGGTGCTGAGTGCCAGCCAGCTGATTGTGTTGGTAACTTTGGCGGGCCAAAGGTCATCTGGCATGTTGCCTGTCATGAGCAAAATAGGAGTGCTTTCTTTTCCTATTGTACTACTACTAGTACTACTATATACTACTAGTAGTACATTCACTCTGCAAGATACCCTTGTTGGGCCATTGCCAAAATGCACGAGGACTTGAAGGCGCATCTGGCGGAGCTCAAGAGCCGGCAAAAGACTCTGTGAGCTTTGTCGATTCCGATGCATTGTGTAATCGAAGGTCGCTCTGTGTCACAGGACGGCGAGGCGGATTGCCCTCGAGAAGAAGCAAAATCTGCGTGACTCGACAATGGCCGAATTCAGTGCCGCGTACGCAGACATGCTCCGTCGGAAGCTGCGGGCGTGCAAGCAGCACCAGCTCGAGTCCAAGAAGCGAAACCACAGGCTTGTGTCGGACTTGCTCGAATACCAGAAGCAGCACTTTGGTAGCTCGTCGTCGTCTAGTCCAATGTTTGTCGGACGTGCGTCGGCGATGGCGTTGGTCAAAGCCAAGCAATCGTTTGCCGACCAAGTGGAGGTCGTGTATCCAGCGTGGCAAGAGCAAGTACAGCACACCAAGCTGCAAAGGCTTCGGCAATTGGAGCAAGAAAAGCTCGAGATCGAACACCGACGAGTGCTAGCCAAGCAGGTTCCATTACCAGCTTGGCATGTTTGCAGGATGGGGTAGGCTCATGCAAGCCACGTGTTTTGTAGAGCTTTGACAAGGAGCAAGCATTGGAAATGCTACTCCAGCAAGCGGTACGACCCAGCCCGTTGCAATGAATGATGCCAATGATGGATATGGACAGGCACAAGACATTTCATTTGCCGCGACGATCGAGCGCAACGAAGTGTACCAGCGGCAGTTGTTTCGTCAGCAAAAAGTCAAAGAAGGTAACACCAAGAGAGCTCGTACGTCTGACACGAGGTCGTCATGGGTACTCATAGCGGAAGACATGGACTACATCATCCAAGCGCGCGCAGACCAGGAACGACGGCGCCTGGAAGACGAGCATTTGAAAGCACTCGAGTCGTCCCAATTGGTCGATCAATATGGTACCCCCATCATCGCATAATGCATTACATGTACGATCTAGTTGTTGTACGACATAGCATCACTGGCGCAAAAGTACACGCCGTTTCAGCTAGAGATTCCGCCGCCATCGGCACTCCCCGCCTACTCGGCACTCTCTCGGTAGGGCAAATAGCATGCCCAAGATCGATTCCAACTGGGATATATATATATGCAGACAATCCAGTTGCCCAGACGACGTCAACCAGCCATTCCGTGCATTCGCCTACGAGTAAACAAATATACGCACTAGTATATTCGTCATCATCATGATAGCATGTGGTACTTACATGTCTGCTAGCACGGCCCCCGCGGTCCCCGTCGCTGCATTAGAGTCCCCACCACACCGACCTGAGCCCAGCGACAAAGCTAGTCAAGACGAACCATCGCCCCTTCTTACGCCACAATTTGCTTATGTGCCGATTCCGCAAACGTCTCAGATGCCGATAGTGTGCCCACCACAAGCCTGTCAAAATCGAGTAGCCCCGTCTTGGGAACTCGAGCAGTCCGTAGCTCATCCTATGGAGGCCGTGCCGCGTCGTTCGATAACGCCGCCCTTGTGCTATGACACTCCTCCACCAGTGTCCACTCCAATTCCCATCACATCCCCAAGGGCTCAGGCGGCTGAAGTTGCCGCACCAATTGATTCACCACACGTCACGTCTGTCGTAGCTCCGCCCCTTCCTCCGTCTGTCGCCCCCAATGCCACGACGAAGATGACGGCGGCGCTGTGTGCCCGCCCCACTCAAGAAGTTGCCCCTCCACCAAAGATCCAACCGACCCAAGATATACCACCAACGACTACTGGTGCCAGTAGGCACAACGGGGAACAAACGCTTTCAAGTGTCACGTCGACGAAAGAAGAAGGAGACAGCCGCCAAGGGGAAGACGACACGAATGACAGCATCTTGGCAGACTATTACCACATGACCACCGATGCCTTGGACACTCGGATGGCGCACGATGCATTAACCATCACTCAGACCCCGTCGATGCCACCAGTCGTCGCGAGTCCCCTCCCATCAGGCAAAGACGTTGAACCAAGCCCACGGGTAAAGACTTGGAGCGCGGCACCACTGGAGCAGGCCATACCAAGTACCCCACAAGTGACGGCAACAAGTATGTCGTCTGTGGATGGCGCTGCGTTCGTTCCTACCAGTATGTCGGAATCAATCGAGAAGCCGACGATGATAGAGACGCCGATGCTTCCCAGTCCACAGTTTGTCCATGGGGAGGAGAATGAGGTTCTATCCATCGAGGTCGTCGAAGTAGTTAACACCTCATTGGACGGATTTGGAGGAACTTCCCCCGTCGAGGAGAAGCGGCCAGTGCCGGAGGACACCGCGCCGCCGCCGCCAACGTTAGCCGACCCATCGATCATTGGGGTGGCAGTCACTGTCATAGACGACCTTTCAAAGCAGATCTTTATTTCTGGGGCTGAGGACAGCAACGAGTCGTCCTCGTTGCTCGACACGACTAGGTCGTTGTCCACCAACGTGATGGCTCAAGAAGTCGACACTATGACACTGGGGATGCGGCTGTCGATTGATGAGAGCTTCGAGATGAGCGAGTCAATGATTAGCGCACATAGCCCCCACGCTCCCAATGTCGTCGGAGAATCCGCCACGTCCGCCGACATCATGTCGCCGCCCCAAAACTCCACGGGGGAACCACCGCTAGCAGCAGCAGTGGACATTCTGATGCTAGATGGAATGTCACTATCTCCAGAAAAGCCCATTCCTCGGATGACATCGGCGTTTCCATCCCAACCAAACAACTTGAACGAATCCACCGAGGGCCCCACGATCGACGACGACGGCGAGTACGACGACGGAAGTTATGTCACGGCCACGTTCAAATTGACTGTCAACGAGCGGCTGACTGTGTTGCAGACGCTGATTCTTCGCATCGAAGAAACGACGAAAGAAGGCGAGCAGGTGTCGGCGGCTATTGAAGCCAGCATCGAAGTAAAGGCCAAGCTCGATCTGTTAAAGTACGTCCACGGATCGGAAGACAAATGTGTTTGAGCATGTGACAGGGTGGCGATGGGGGGGCGGAAGGCGCAGATCGGGTTCTTTGGCGGGGATGTGTGTTTTGCGCTGCTGGTGGACATTTGCCGAGACGTTGCCCCATGTACAATCAATCACCAATGACTTGCATATATATATATTTATGGCAAAGAAGGATGGGTTATTGACACGGACGAGGTAGATTTGTTCCCCGAGCGTATCTTTGAAGGCAAAATGACCGAGCAAAAGCTGCTCAAGGAGTACAAAGCGTGCCGAGAAAAGGAACTTGGTGGGGGGGCGAGCGATATTTTGATTCACTTTGAGCCTATGTGATTTATTTCGGTTGATTATTTTTATTATAATAATTATTATTGGTAGAGTATTGGAAGCTCCTGTCCAGTCATTTCAAACAACTGGTCGCACACGGAGCCATGACAGCGCCCGACCTCGTGGACATGTTTGTCGACATCTTTCTCATCCATTTGACCCACGATTCACGGTCGACTCGAAAGGTAGTAGTAGTAGTAGTAGGTTATAATACTGTCATCTCAAGTGATTTTATCGATATATTTATGATTTGTAGTACTATATTACTAGTATTTATTTGAGATAAAACAACATGGAAGTAATAGTTATTAATTTGTAGTTGAGAGATTTTCTGTCGGGGTACGTTGGGTCGGCAGGTAATCCTCAGGCGACAGCATTGAAACCAAGTCCCCAAGAGAGTGCAAAGCCAGTCGAAACGCCAAAAGAGTCCAAGCTAAACCAAGCCAAGAGTGTGCTGGACTTGGCCTTCATGCACCAAACAGATGCGTCTCCTCCGTGCGTACTAGTATATGACAATTGTGTATTCCATGTGAACGACCCGTAGGACAAAACCAAGTGCGTTCGACAAGGGATTGAAGCTTTCCAAATCGCCTACAATTGCTGGACGTGTCAGTGGGGGCTTGGGTCAACGCGTACGACCCCCGTCCATTGGATCTTTGGCATGATATTTTACTATATTTATATTATTAGGTGCTCCGGGGAGTGAGTTTGGACGAAATTTCAGAATTTGACGACGACGATGATGTCGACTTGAACAAGTTTATGGGGACAGCCGTGAAAGCCAAGCCCGCCTTGACCAAGGCGTACTCGACGACCAAAGAGAAACCTCCCAAAGATGATGATTTTGACCAGGATTTTTAACTGCTTTGAGTAGTAATAATAATGTAATATAATGAATGCCTTCCATGATCGTATATTAACGGGTCATATCTCGACTAACACACAGCGTTGTATACCATTGCCTCTAGAGCACTTTTTGGCATGTGTTAGGTACTCCAGCGTAGTACACAGTACTACTACAAAGGTAGTAGTAGCAGTTCGGCCAACGAACCAAGAAGTTACTATATATATATATATATATATAGTTCTTGTTGGGTTGACCCTCGCGACGGTTACACGTGCATGTGGTGCACTTTGCTGTCGGCGGGCGATGCATACTTGGAGTCGTGGCAGGGTGGAATGGGATGCATGGCGACGTCCCATACCCCCATGAACGACATGCCTGGGAAGCCGTCGACTCGTCGGAACGTCGCGGGTCGGAATGCCACGGTAAATATGAGGCAGAAGAACAAGCACTCGATAGAGCACATGGTGAAGTACTTGCGCAGCGCGGGGAGGCCGTTGTGGTCTGTGACGAGGAGGCAGTAGACTGCCCACTGGAACGACCGCACGAGGAGGAGCCCCTTGATGACGAAGAACTTACCGAGCACTTGGAACTGGGGCTGCATGGCGGGCAAGATGCGGCGGATGGTCACGAGGATCGCGGCGACGGCAGCTAGCGTGATGAGGATGTTGACCGACGCCATTGCCATGCGCAGTTCCCAGTTGTCCAACCATCGATTCACCACCATGACAATGGACACCACCGGACGAATATATACAAAGGCGAGGATCACGTTGCGACATCGCATGTACTCGTGTAGACCCGGCTTGGCTGCTATGTCCTCGTCGACGGCTTTGTCTTTCATGACCGGGCTCGAGGACGGGGGAGTGAACATTGTCATCGTCGACGCACGGCCGCGGGTCTCGTGGGATTCAGCAAACAAGTGCACGGCTCGGTCCGTGCCGCCGACATGTACCACGAGCATAAAAAAGAATGACAGCAGCATGATAGCTTCGACGACGCCGGTGATGACGTCCTCGACCATGTCGTGCACAATGGCTTGAGGGGACGACGGCAAGGTGAGCTCCGTGGACAGGAACTGGAAGAAGAACGAAACGGCCGTGAGGATAAAGATAAACGCAAAGCGAATGGTCACGATTTGGGCTGGGGAGTTGAACACGTTGTCCGCATGCGAAGTGAACGAGTAGCACCCGGCAAACACGCTGGCAAGAAATATGACGCAATTCAGAGCGAAGATCCACGGCACCATCATGGCTTGCTTACTAGGCTCGTATGCTAAGGAGGCTTGTCACTCGATCAAGCAGAGTGTAGAATGGCGTCTTGCATGATGATCTGGGTCTGAGTTGCTCGCTTTCCAAATGTCCAACTGGGTACCTTGGTTACCTTTGGTTATTGCATACCTTGGATATTGCATATTGTCATTTTCGTCAATGTACTGGCAAGAGACCGGATTAATATGAATGCAACATATCTGAAACACCTCTATAACATAATAAATCGTTGCTAGCCAGTGTGCCGCCTGGGTGGTTCGTCTCTACTGTTATGTACGGTAGTTCCTTTCGGTTGTCAAATTGCTCCGGCCAATTGTGCACCTAAACTTACCAAGATGAGGTTAACCAACACAAGTAGTACAAAATCGTTTTTGATCGTGGAGCGCATCTCCGCATTCATGCACTTTGCACTTTCGTTTCCAATCTGAATAATTTTACTAATATCCGTACTCCGGAGAAATCTCTGATTAGTAGATTTTTCCACCAATCATGGGTGTTCTTTTGACACTAACCGGGTAGCCAATCACAGCCACTTGACATTGCCAACGACAACTTCGTGCCATCGATCGCCGCATCATATGCCTCTCTTCCTGGACACTGCGTCGCTCATGGAACACGTGGAGCACCCACCAGCCCTCCCCGACATGGCCATAGAAGGCCAATTGGCTAGGAAACGAATTCTCTCGTTCGTAAAGAGTGTGTAGCCTACAATACTCACACCATGTTGCAGGAAAGCGCTGACATTTGCTGATGTTGTGCTCTCGGACAAGTGTGCGTACATCCTTGAGCGGTGCATATACAAAAGCAATGCATAACGTCATACGTAGCTACGATTCAAGTGATGTTCCGAGCTGGAGAGGCAGAATGGACAAAGGAGAGGTTGACCCAGCTGAACTGGGACATCCACATTGGCGACATTGTCGTAATATCTGGAACCGCAAAACTCGAAGACGGGGGTCGCATTCTTGTCGTTGCATCGTCGTGCATTGTCAAGGAAAGCTGGAAGACGTCACATCCAGGTAGCAATTAGTGTACATACTTCAGGCCTGGCCTATTATATTATGGAAATATGATGTAGACCAAGGATTTGAGCCATTAGCCGACGAGCCCACGGTGCGTGCCAGCAAACAAGCGTACTCCCACTTGATCCAACTACGTGGATTCAACGCCTGCAAATTCCACTTCAGCAATGGCTCGTGTGACCGCGGCCAGTTGTGTCACTTTTGGCACGGGTACGAAGTAAACTCGACACGAAATGGCTTGTTCAGGACGGTCTAGGCCTTTGGAAGACTACAAATTACTTCGAGACGAATGGCTTCAGAAACGGGCGGAGCAAAAACGAGAGCTGGCGCTCTTGGTGGACGATCCACTGGACCCGCATTCCAAAGAACTAAAGTCCCAACGAGCTCGCATCTTCACCGATTGGCTGGTCGAGCAATATGGGGTAGCTCGACTTCAAGAAGGCTCGGGCGTGATCGACGTTGCGGGAGGCAAAGGCGACGTTTCATTTGAATTGTGGCTGCGTCGAGACATCCCCACGACGCTGATCGATCCGGTTAATTGAGCTTTTGTTGCATGGCATGTCCTTACGAGTGCTGTTAGCGCCAAGTGAAAACTCGACGGACGCACTTGAAGTATATGGCGCAACATGGCAAGCCCAAGTGGACTCATGTGCGTCACCCTTTGTTTCGTGATTGATTGTGATGATAGAAGGCGAACTGTAGATGATGGCTGAATTGAATGATGACTTGATTGCTGCGCATGATCCGCTCTTTCGGTCGTGCGCGATCGTGGTGGGGATGCACCCAGACGAGGCCACGGAAGCCATCGTGGATGCCGCCCTCGCCATGAACAAACCGTTTGCAATCGTGCCTTGCTGTGTCATGAGTCGGCTCTTTCCAACACGAGCATGCAACAAGATGAAGGTAGCCACGTACGAGACGTTCGTCACGTACCTCAAAGCCAAACACCCAGGCATTCAGTCGGCATTCCTTCCATTTGGCGGACGCAATCAAGTGTTGTACTTGCTGTAACTGTCAAATAGAACGGTTTCATTATTTCTTTGTTTTATCCGGATGCAACAGTATTGGTGATTAATCCGAAAGGACATGCATTTTAGCCAATCCAATCGACGAAAGCGATGAATTGGTGGTTGGCAGCACAATCACAGGCTCTTCAACTTCACATATCCAACCTCGACCATGGCCGGCGGCGGGAACAAAGCGAAAGGCGGCAAGTCGTCTAGCACGGCGGCAAAGGTGGCTAACAAGAAGCGCAAAGCTCCTCAAAGCAACCAGGGCAATGTGCATCAAAAGCGGGCCAAGGCAGCTGACAAGGCAGCGCCAGTGAAAAAGAAGTTCAGTGCCGCCAAGAAGGCCAAGAAGGCTGCGGCGGCACCCAAGGTCGAGGAAGACGAGGACGTAGAAATCGACGACGAAGACGTAGAGTTCTTTGAGGTACGACGTTTGCATATCATGCGTGGCGGCGTCTCATGTGTCGTCCGCAGAGCCATGGCCAGTTCTCGTCGTTCCTGTCCACCATGGACCGCAATGCCATCAGGTACAGGCAGTACCATGCTGGATCCTATAGTTCCAGTGTTGACTCCATCTCTAGCAAATCCACGAAGAAGACAGCTTTAAACAAACCGGTCAAGCCGAAAACGCTCGAGCAAATCGAAGCCGCTCCTCGCGCGGCGCCAGCCGAGGCCAAGTCGTCTATCATTGACATTTCGACCAAGTTGCCTGTCAAGTCGTTCGATGGCGCGCTGCAGCCGAACAAACTGATGCAGGAAATCGTCGAGGAAGTTCACGAAGAAGAAGTAGAAGGCGACGACGACGACGAAGACAGTGACGACGAAGGGTCCGACGTGGGCAGCGGAGACGAGAACGACCTGTCCGACTTGGAAGTGGAGGAAGTTCCCGACGACATTCAACGCCCGTCCACGACCTCGTCGCAGGCCGAACCCGCGGCCATCTCCCCCGACGAGCTCCGCGCCATGCAAGCCCGCCGACTGCACTCAAAGAAAGAAGAGCTTGCGTTGTTGTGTGAGAGCATCTTGGAGTCACCTGAAGAAGCCGTAAAGAAGACCAAGGACCACCCCGACCAGTTGAGCAAGTTCCAGCAACTCCACGCCATGTGCGAAGACACGGACGTGACGCTGGTCAAGCTGGCGATGCTGTCGGAGCTGTCTGTGTTGCTGGATGTACTGCCCGACTACCGCATCCGCCTCGGGTCGGATGGCGACAGCAGTGGGCCGCAGAAGAAAAAGGTCAAAGAGATGAAGGACTTTGAAACGAACCTACTCAATCAGTACCAAAAGTACCTCAAGTACCTGTCGGCGACGGCCACGGCCAAATTGAGTACCCTCAACCCAAACCAGTCGAGTCGCACGCAGACCCAGCACTTGGACTTTGGCGTGGCGGAAACCGCCGTCAAGTGCCTCGCCGAGCTGCTCAAAGTCAAATATGCATTCAACTTCCACCTCAACCTCATCAACGCCATGGTCCCGTTTGCCGACAGTCCGTTCCCGACCATTCAACGCCCTGCATGTGACGCATTTGAAGTTGTGTTCAAGGTACGCTTGGTGTTGTCAAGAATATATATATATATGTTTTTCGTTAGGTTTTGTAGACATATATATATAATATATAAAGTGAAACACACACTTTATATATATATATTCGCGTGTGTGAGTAGGTCGACAAGTCTGGCCTTGCGCCATTGGAAATCGTCAAGGACATGGCCAATTATGTCAAGAAGCGCCACCATCGGTAATACCATTCTCGTTGAATTCGATATAAGTCGAATAATATTTTTTTTGTTTGCAGTATTACGAGGATTGTTGTGTTTCTGCAGTATATAAATATTTATTGTTTCTAGAGTCAGCGAACGCATGATCAAGACGTTGCTCGTGATGCCATTGGACACGACCATGGAAGCGGGTGAGATCGCCCGCCGCGTGGCCAAGTCGAGCCGAAAGAAGCGCCGGCGGCAGCAAAAAGACGTACGAACAATGATATGATGAAATATATTAATATATTAATATTTAGGGGGATGGGATCGCGACGGGGTTAAAAGAAGCCGAGGCCGTGGTGGACAAGTCCGAGCGTGACAAGACCCAGGGCGACATTTTGCACGAGTTGGTGCTCATCTACTTTCGCGTGCTCAAGAACTCGACGTACTCGCCCGCCATGCCTGCCGTCTTGGAGGTATATATATATATATAAAGTATTGGGGCGACTTCATGAATAATATATATATATCGTTGTTTGCAGGGCTTGACCAAGTTTGCATACTTGATCAACTTGGAGATCATGATCGACCTTATGAAAGTGCTCAAAGCGCTTTTGAAAGAAGACATTCTGCCCCTCGCTGCGGCATTGCAAGCTATTTTGACTGGGATCAAGACGCTGCAAGGTCCGGGCCAGGAGCTCAAAGTAGACGAAAAGGACTTTGTCGACCATCTCTACAGAGTACGTGACGTGGCACGCCCTCGTTCGAGTCGATGACTGGCAGTATATCGATTAGCTCCTCCTTCGCTTTGCGCAAGGGGAGAACGTCGCGTGCTTCAACACGGCGCTGCACTGCGTCGAGGCGGTGTTCATCAAGCGAAAGGAGATCGTCGTGGACCGTGTGGCCGCCTTCATCAAGCGCCTCCTGGTCGTGTCCATGTACTTGTACCCACACCAGATGCTAGCCGTGTCGGCTTTGATTCGAAGTACGTTGTATATATATCATATATATATATGAATGCATTAGTATGTATGTGCCTGTTTTCATATCATATTGTGTACACCTACTATACACAAAATGATATATATATATATATATCATCTGAAATGGCGATATAGGTTTGTTTCATCGGTACTCGAAATTGCACCAGTTGCTCGAGAACGACCAAGATCGCGTCGCGTCGGGCATTTACCGGTATGAGCTATTCGTAGTATTATTATTATTATTATTTGCCCACTAGTATTATATATATATATATTTGTGAGAACTCGACTTATTTTGAGCATTCTATAGAGCGGACGTGGACGACCCAGACTTTTGCAATCCATTTGCGTCGGCATGCTGGTACGAAACACGCTCTCTCTTTGTCCATCTACATGGCTATTTGTATAAATTTATAGTATTTGCTGGATTATTCAATATATATTTCCATGTATAGGGAACTGAGTTTTCTGGGCAAGCACTACCACCCCGTGGTCGCGTCGTTCTCGACGGGGACGGCCAACTTGGAGCCGTCGCTCCCCAACGAGCACCCCAAGGCGATGCTGGAGCGGTACGACACGGTGACGTCGGGGGAGTTTGTCCCAAGGGTTTCCATCCCCAAGGCCAACCCCCTGCACGCCAAGATGCTCAAGCAAAAGAAGGCCAAGCCAGTGTTTGTCAGCCAGAGCTACGCGGCGCCGTCGCCCTTTTTAGAAGCGTGCTTGGCGCTCGACGAACCCCGTGACCACGACGTGAATTGCTTCTTTGTGTCGGTCGAATGAACAATTTATATTGTACCTAATATCAACGCTTTATTGATCATAATATTCGTGATGGTGTGCTCGTCATGGGATGGTACTGTACGCCCAACCACAGTGAAACAGGGCCCTGTGCCGTACATGCGATCTTTTCAAGTGCCGATAGTGCGACGAGGGGACCGAAATCTCATACGAACGTTATATCGTCGATAACGTAGATGGGTTTGTGATGTAGAGTCGCCCTGGTGTTAAATTACCGTTAACGTAGATGGCCAGTTTATATAGTTTAAAGTGCATTCAAATTGGCCAATGGAATTGCTTTAATTAAGGAATAGCCAATCGAATCGCTAGAAATGCGAAAACATCAGCAAATCGTGCATCCATATTTTAAGCATAATTCCAGCACCATAAACCGTCCTTCCTATTTTGCCTTGACTTGAGTGGAAATCGAAGTCAATGAACGCTAAGTTGAAGTCTATTCTAGCCGATTAAATAATCAGAAGAAAGCCCAACCTTTCGGCTTCATGCAGCACTTTTCAGAATTGAAATCCCGGTCCAGAGAGACGAATAAGCTGTATTCTACGACGAGGTCTCTTTCAAGTGCACCATGAATTGGCCATTTACGTCAAGTCTCTGACGACCACGTTAATACTGTATTTGGTCGAGAGTTTACAAAGTTGTGATGCAAATCACTCAAATGACAAGATCGCCAACCTCGGAACTAATTTCCTCCAATCAGTACAACCCTATCATGGCTGGATGCCTACCACGCTTGTGATTGGCTGTGCACGGGTTCAAGTTGGGATTTACCCACGACAGTGGGAAATACCAAACCATGTTGGAAAGACTGGCATTTTCGAATTGGCTTCGTTCACAACATGGAGAGTGCCCCGCTGATGAGCCCGCTGATGTCGTCTCGACAGAGTTCGTCCAAGAAGTCCACCAAAGCCATCGCGGCTGTCCTTGCGACCGTTGCCGGTGCCTTGGTGTACGTGGGCTCTACTGCCCGCCCCGCTGCCGTCGTGACCGAGACTTTTTCGGGCGAGACCATGTCCATGAGCCACAAGCAGAAGCTGCCAAAGGAGTCGTTCGACGGGGACCTACGCCTTCGATGCAATGAGACGTACATCACCCAGACGCTGGACCACTTCACTGCTCACTTCGGCACGTACGAACAGCGCTACTTTACATGCGGTGAGCACTGGAAGTCCCCGGACGGACCCATCTTCTTCTACACGGGGCACGAGAGCGACGCCGAGAATTTCCTCAAGGCCACGGGGCTTATGTGGGAAAACGCGGCGGAATTCGGCGCGCTCCTGGTGTTTGCCGAGCACCGGTACTTTGGCAAGTCGTTCCCGAAGATTGCGAACGCGTCCTACATTGAGAGCCTCCGGTTCCTGTCGTCCGAGCAGGCGCTAGCCGACTACGCGGTTCTCATCAAGCACTTGAAGACGACGCTGCATGCGGAGAAGAGCCCTGTCATCTCGTTCGGCGGGTCGTACGCGGGCATGCTGGCAGCGTGGTTTCGCATGAAGTACCCGTTCGTCGTGGACGGCGCGATCTCGTCGTCGGCGCCGCTGCTCGCCTTCCACGGCCAAGACCCGCCCGTGGACCCCGAAGCGTTCTCGCGCATCACGACGTTTGTGGGCACCGCTGCCGCGGGGTCGGCCGCCAACTGCGTGCCAAACATCCGCAAGGCGCAGCAGGTCATTTCCGACTGGGGCGCCACCGCCCAAGGCCGCCAAAACTTGACCACGGCTCTGGGTCTGTGTACAGTGCCGCCATCGCAAGAGGTCGCGCTTGAGATCGCAGACAGCTTGGTGGGGACGTACACGGAGTTGGCCGAAGGCAACTACCCGTGGCCGTCCGACTACTTTAGCGACTTGCCGGCGTTCCCGTACCGCGCGGCGTGCGACCATTTGAAAGACGAGTTTGAAAGCGATGCCGCGCTCTTGGCAGGGTTCCGCGCCAGCGTCGGCGTGGCCACCAACTCGTCCGGCAAGGTCACGTGTGTCGACTGGAACTCGACGTCCCCGATCGAGTCGGAAAACTTGTGGTCGTACTTGGCGTGCTCGGAGCTGTACATGGTCATCAGCGACCAAGACGGCGTCCGTGACTTCTTCCGTCCATCCAAGCAGAACCAGACGGCGGACGCCGAGCGATGCTTGGCCAAGTGGGGCGTGGAATTGCGGCCGCTGTGGGCCAATACCGTGTACGGTGGCTGGGCGGGCATCCGTGCCGCGTCCAACATCGTCTTCTCCAACGGCAACTTTGACCCGTGGGGCGGCTACGGTGTATGGGAGTCCCAAAGCGACTCGGTCATCGCCATCCCCATCGACCAAGGCGGCCACCACCTCGACCTCATGTTCAGCAACGAAGCCGACCCGCAATCGGTGCGCGACGCGCGCGAGCAGGAGAAGCACGAGATCCGCAAATGGATTCGAAACAAGCACAAGGCGCAACACTAACCATCGCAGGCTTTGGCCAGCATATCGATTTTATCCTGCCATGGGTATATTCCAATAATATTGTGACCACAATGAAAAGCAGCAGATTTCTCGGTTTCCGGATTTTATCCGGAGTGTCCCTTCGATCATTAATATCCGGATGGTTTCAAAATTCCAACACGAAACGGCAACATTCGAACAAAACTCCTGGACGCGCACTTTTGCGGACCTATATACCCGTGGCGTCATGCAGAAGGAGTCGAAACTTCGCTATGATCCTTCCGAGCATGCGAAGAAGCAGCAGGCCGCGAAGGATAGAGCGAAGGAACTCCGGGATGCTCGTTCGCGCGGCGTGGTGAACGATACGTGCACGTTCACCCCCAAGTGAGTTTCAACACTCTCCTCGGCTGCACCTTCCGTACCACCGAGTCCTTCTCACAAGAAATGTAGAGTGAATCCAAGAAAAGCAGCTGAAGATAACAACGACGAACCGCAGCAGCATGCTGCTCCCCCAGGATCGCCCCCCATCCGGTCGAAGTTTCAAGCGACGGCAGCGCCACCTTCGCCACCCATAAAGTCCAAGTTCCAAAATCAGGAATCTCCGCGTGTCGAGTCCCCACCTCCTGCAAGCCCCCCCAAGCGCCGAGCTCCCGTGTCCAACTTGAAGAAACCGACCCCTCCGCCCAAAATGCAAGCAAACGATTCCTCCGATTCGCTGGACCGTCTCTCTGGGTCATATTCGCGACAAACTAATTCCAAACCATCCAAAGAGTCGTCCATACAACAGCCATACGAAACTGAAGAGCCTGGTAGTCCATCATCTTACTGGATATTTATTAAACACCATTTATAGAGCACGACTCGCTATCCAACGAACTCAAGACGCGCACGGGAAAGGTCATTGCCCGGGAGTCCAAGCCGAAAGCATCGGCAGGAGGCGGGGCGTGCTCTCGAGACTCGAGTTGCCGATGCCGCCAATGCGACCCTTCGAACGTCGTCGAGGCAGCCCCGGCGCCGTTGGCGCGCCAGCGGCAAATGAAGCCCAGTCCGTCCGCGGCGGTTGCAGACACTTCGGTACCGTTCAGACTTGCAACTCCCATGGATTTGTCGGGTCAATTCATTGCCGGATGTAGACCGTGGACCAGAACTCGTTGTCGCTGCTCAAGTCCAAAATGTCTCGACGCAAGAGCCGCAGCGCTCCCACCAAGCCCGCGTCCATGTTTGTGGATGAAGACAAACCCCGCCAAGTGGTGCATTCCGCGCGCGAACCTCCTGCGGTTGCTCAACAGGCCAAACCAGCTGTACTAGAGAAGCGCCGCCCGCCGCCTCCCGTCGCCGCCTTTGAAAAACCGCCGGCCAACGTGTTTGACGGTGTGCCCGACGGGGTAACCAACCCTTTTTTCGATATCATGCAATATCAGTTGGGGTATTCTTCTACATCTTACTACAGTATGGGGACATGGAAATACACGGGGTTCTCACTTATCTATCGGTGGAATGGCAGGAAAGCGAAGTGCAAGACGATGGTGCTAACCACGAATGCCCCGATTGCCACCGAAAGTTCAACGCTACAGCCATTCTCAAGCATCAAGTACTAACTATGGGGATGCCTTCATGTGCGTCTGTCTCTCACAGCGTGCGAGTTAGAAAATCTGCAAAAAGGTGTTTCAAGGGCCAAAGAAAGTGTTCAACATGGCGGTACGAGTACATATGAATAACATACACTATACAAATATATTTACTATCCGCTTTTTTGTGATATTCAAACCCTCTAGGCTGCCCGCCTCAAAGGCACAGATGTCGAAAAATTGCTGAACGAAAAAGGCATTTCGATCAAAGCCGCGACCACCGCTGTATCGCAGGCCAAGGCGAAAGCCGACGACGCGGCGGCCAAGAAGGCCGACTGGAAGAAGAAAAGCAACGCGTTCCGAGATGCCATCAAAGGCAGTCGTGACTACGAAATTGCCAAAAAGGAAGGCCGGTACGTCTCATCACTCTGTCTCAGCATTTCTTTGATTCATAATGAAATGTGGATATATTGTGCTTTCGAGTGAATTTTCGTGTTGTGGAGTGGTTTCTCGTTGGAATTTAAATCGATTTGATTGGCTACCTCTGATGAGCTCAAAATTATTAGCAAATCAAAACCTTCTCAATGAAATTCAACCAATCAGATCGATTGTGGATCAATTTGGTCGGCTCCCCAAATTTGTATCAAATCGACAATAAATGTAGTGAATTGCCTCCGCCCAAACCCGCCGAGATTGACCCCAGTCTTGTGCAATGTGCGCATTGCTCGCGTCGGTTCAACGAAAAAGCGGCCGAGCGTCACATTCCTCACTGCAAGGAAAAGGCTGACGTGCGTTTATACTAACTACCTGGCCCATCCCTTGTAAGCAACCAACTTGTCTCTATTTGCATGTAGCGCGCGGCGCTGTCCAGCGGACCACCCAAAAAAGCTGGCGGGAAAGCCGCCCCCGCTGCCAAGTTGGCGCCCCCCAAGCCAGTGGCGAAGGCTCCGGCAAAGAAAAAGTAGTCACCACACACGAGCATGTTGTTTTGGTGCATACATTACCCTCTCTTTGACATCTTACTTCTACTCGACCCCCGAGTGGTGGGTGTCAATTACGACAAACACTTTGTCGTTGGGGAACACCTGCGTGTCACTCGGTGGGGACGTGAGCACATATGGCACAACATTCCCGAGGCGCATGTTGGGGTATCGATACAGCCCCAGCACCAACTTGCCCGCTCTTAACATGGCCAGGACCACGTCGCCGTAGCACCCCCCGATAAAGTCCACGGGTATGTCGGTTTGAGTCAACGTCGGCCCCTGCACGTCCGGATCGAGCGGGTTGCCCGTGAGCAGGTGGAGGATCTCCGTGATGTACGGGTTGTAAAACGCTTGGCACAGCACCAAGTCGAGCCGACTGTCGACAAACACTCGCCCGGCGGCAAAGGCGGGAGACAGATACGGCAACGAGTCGCAGCTGAAGAGCACGTCACGAGGGCGGCAGAATTTGATGTTGGACCCGCGTTGGAGCACCGCCATGGATGGCAAGTCGCTGAGGAAGCTGCTCGAGATGGCGACAGACGAGGACGACGCGGAGGCTTCGGCCGGACACGTCGAGAGGCGCCGGCTCATGTTTTCGATCGACGGCGCCCGAAACACGTCCGGGTTCAACGTCGGAAAGTGCTCGAGCATGCGCGACTGCACCGCCTGCAACGGCACATTGCAGTTCACGTAAAACCCGACTTCATCCCGTGCGACGGTGACGGCACTTCGGCCCGTGGACAGCACTTTGGCATTGTCGCACGTAGTTTCCAGACACAACAAGGACGTGACGACGCCATAGTCGAGCAAGTACGCGTCGTCTGTCGGTTGGTTCTGGACGGACGAGGGTAGGGGGAACAGCAGGACCGCTTTCGCGCGTTGAATGGACACGCGGAGGAGGTCGGGGCACTGCGTCGACACCCCGCGGACAAAAAACACGTCTGGGGGCAAGGTGTAGTCAAGTTCAAAGTCGTTGGCGGTGGGCACGTGGTTTACAAGCAACACGAGCGGGGGCGCGGGGGAAGCCGTAGCAGCGTACATGGCTCGAAGTCGGTCGATTAGTGGGAGGATGTGTCTCGTGGCCCCACACACCACCACATGGCCTTGCATGTCGGTCATGGCTTTGAACGTGGCGGCGCCGAGTCGGGTGTCCAGCTCGGCTTTGGGATCGTGGCTCGGACTTCTTGGCGCGGTGGAGACTTCGTCTTGTATTGGGGGTGTGCTGCTTGGTTGGTTAGTTGGCGCGAGGGTGATCTTGCGGATGTACTTTCGCTGGAGGAGGTTGGACTTGGACACGATGGGGATGGACCGAAGCGACGAATGGCGGGGACTCGGCGCCGACTCTTCGCCTTCCACGACCGACGCGTACTCGGACTGGATGGCGTGCACCACGGACGCCGACGTGGCCAAGATGAACCCAATGTCGCTATGTCATCATCCACGTCAAGAATACGCAATCATGCGACATGTCATCCCACGGAATACGCAATCATAAACAATGTACCCGGGGCGCATGGATTTGCCAAATGGACTCAACATGACACGAGGAACGTCCTCGTCCTTGTCTCGCCGGTATACTGCCAACAACAGGACTTCAAACCTACGTACGTACATGTACTGGCTAATGAGCATGCTGGTTGATTAGATGCCATTTGGAAATGTACCCGGTAAAGAACCGGCGCGCCACGTCCTCATAGAGGTGGCCGTCGAATGCGTCGGACAACAACACTGCATACACTTGTTGGCTCATGCCTCCAATGTACTAAGCATAATAGTATGAATGATACCAGTATCCTTCGAATGTACCTCGTGCATCCAGGGCGTGGGATGGGAGATGTGCTTGTGCATCTTGGCTTGGTCCACCGACTGCATGAGGTTCAAAATGAGCGCACAGCTCCCGGGGCACACGACGCCGCGACAGACCAAGTCGGCTTTCACGCGGTTCGAATGGATTGTCTACAACCATACCATGAGATCGCATGAAACCAATCAACCGACGCACCTGGTTGGCACCAATGATGTGGGACAGCTCTTGGTGGTCGTCCGATAACATTTGCAAGTACATTCGAATATGGCATCCCGTGCTAAATCGATCCGGCATGTTCATCCACCGTTTCGAGACGTGTCATTCTACCTGTCGGCATAATTGCGAATGCTCAGCGCCTGCAGCAGCGTGGTTGCGTCCTGCGCTTCCGTCGCCCGGGCGTCCTTGTCGGCTAGCACAAACACGGCTTCGGCGGACGCGAGCTGCGTCCGCTTGCGGTCCACATCATGAACGAGGGAGCCTGCTCAAAATATCCATCAGCGCTAAACTCAACAAAACTAAACTCAACAACTAAACTCAACAACTAAACTCAACAAAAATAAACTCAATTGAGATGACACGGCGAATGAAATACCTTTGAGGAACGTGGTTTTGGTCGCGTACACGACGTTCGAGAGCAGGCGCGTCATGGCGGGCGACGGCGGGTCCGGCGACAGCACGACAATGTCAAAGCTGATCACGCCTCGTGACGGATGGTAAAACTCGGTCAAAAAGTCGGCAAAGCTGTCGTGCACGACGTGGCCGCACACGATCACATGGCCGCGCCCGGGACGGCACACGTACGCGCCGTCGTACGCGTGGATGGACACGTGCAGCGCATGGAGCCGCGCGATTTGCGCCGGCACAGTCGTGACCACGACAATGATGAGCCCCATGACAAAGAACTCGGTCAACGGACGAGTGGGCACAATGTCCCCGTAGCCTACGCCATGGTAAACAAGACGTGTTCAGTGGACGGACGAACGCACGGACCGATGGTGGACAGCGTCACGAGGATGTAGTAGAGCGAGTCGTGGAACTGCAGGCGGCGATCTCGAGATGGGTAGTCCTCCAGCGCGTGGAAGATGCCCGCCGCGACAAAGATGATGGCCGACAGCGAAAACACAAACACCCCCCACTCGTAGTTGTACCCGTGCTTGCGACTGCGAATGAGGTTGTGAAGTCTTAGGACGCGGAGGGCGCGGAACACTCGGAACACGCGGAACAGCGTCAGCTCCCGCGACGACGGATCGCTGACAAAGTACTAGAACATGTGGAGCACTTGCGGTCATGGCTGGTTGTCTGTGTATGTACAGACCATGATGAGGGATGGCGCGATGGTGAGGTCGATGATTCCATTGAATGACAGGATGAACGCCCACACGTCGTCTTCAGAGAACACATGGAGCACCTGAAAGAGAAGTCCAGATAGAGTGTGTGGAAGCATCAGTGGAAGGCGTACGTACATAATGCAAGGCAAAGAAGATCGTGGCGCCAACTTCAATGAGCTGAAAATGCAAGTCTGCGTACAACGTGGGGTTGTACAGCTGTGGGAGATGTCAATTCGAGCTTGATGTGCGATACAGTTATACCTGGATGAGGTAGAACGCGCAGCACATGACACTCAACGTCGTGTTGATCACTTCCAAGTACACGCCAATCCAGCTATGAGCATCCGTGACGTTATCGTGCGATGAAGATGACGACGCACCTGTTGACGTATTTGCGCAGCGTGTCGCGGCATGTGGGGACGTACAGCATGTCTCGGCCGCCAGTCGATCGATGGAGCGTAGCCAAGCGCTTTCCATGATGCGTCGAGGGTGTAACGACGTCAGGGGAGGAGATTTTCAGATCCAACGCCGTCGTGTTGATGCCTCCACTCGATAATAAGTGCAGTCGTTGACCTAGCACAGAAGTTCTAGAACGATACCAAGCGATGTACACATCAAGTTACCTCCGCCCAAAGCCGCCCTTGGGGATGCCTGGTAGAGTGGGCAGGTCAGTGTCATGATGTGGGCATCACAACCGTACCTCGCCTCGCGCATGCATCGACCCATCGGAAGACGATAGCTCCTCGTACGTGTTGCCCTTGGCTCCCACCATGGCCATGAGGTCACTTCCTTTCTTCTTGGTTGTAGATGGAGTGGAGGCCGCTATGAACGCAATCGCCGTTGGGGATTCCATGTCTTCAAGGTCAGCTACTACTGGTCCTGCGGTGGCGGTGGTGCTACTGAGTCGTCGCTGCCTCAAAGCTACAGCCATAGTCGCCGAGTGCGAGATCGTTCGAAACTCAATTCTAGTTTCAAATTCAGCTATTATATTGCGTGTTTGTATTCAATTGAGACTCAAAACGATCCGTATCCGTAACGGCTACCCGAGCGGTTTCATCCATGTCAACGGCGAGAACCAAGAACTACTCGATTGACGTTGTAATCGAGCTTCACATCGCATGGACAAGGGCATGCACTTCACTTCCAAGCTTGGCATACTCGCTTAAGGCTACGAAGGGACAATTGCTGTTGCTTGAACGACGACGGTACTGTAGTGGGTGATGCGGTGGATTCTATGGAATACTGGCCAACGTTGCCGGCCCATCGCTTGCTCGGTGTTACCGGAAAGCATCATGCACCACTTCAATATACATGGGGCGTGTTTGTGTATTCGCTCTCGGCCATCATCTTCGTCGCGGTCGGCATCATCCACACGCTGGAGGACATCCCATCTCGAGACCGCCGGCTTTACATCTTCGTGAACCTCCCCTGTTGCATTCATGCCATTTTTCGAAAGGTGGTATCCGGAAACATCCGGAAATCCGCAGCTTTCTAAAAATGAGGTTGCCATCGTATACAAATTCCAAGTTAAAAGTGCAACGCTGTTGTTGACATGTGAGTTGTTCGGCGAAAAGATATTCATTTTGCGAGTGGGCACGAAGGCGGAACATGCGCGTGATATCCTGCGCGAAGCGACAAGCCGACGAAGACGCTGATGCCGCCTCGGCACTGGACCGACTTGCGGAGTTGTCAGATCGCGTGAAGCGAGTCAAGCGATCCCCGATCGCAAACGTGGACGCGTTCGACAACTTGGTGTCGTTCTCGCAATACTACAACGATGACTTCCACTCGGAGAGCGACAGCGACAACGATGTTCACGAGGATGACTATGACGTGGCCATTGCGTCCGACTACAGCACAGGCAAAGACTTGGACTCGGAAGAGTCTCCCCCCATTGAACTGGAGATTCAAGACATCCGTGTGACCAAGGCATCACGAAGCAAGCGAAAGCAGGCCAAGAAGAAATCGTCTACCAAATCTAGCAGTCGACACGGCGCTCCCAGCAAGCGCCTAGCACAGGGCTTGTTGGACTTAAGCCAGTGCGTGACAGCATTGATGCATGGCGGTGACGAGGACTTTGGTAGTCGAACACTGCGCGGCATCCAAGGCGATCCTAGTGGCGTCGTGGGCGACTTGAACGTGTCCCTCACTGCGTTTCGGCAGGTTATGGACACGATTCGGACCGCTCCGTTCGACGACTTGCGCCCTGTCGTCAATCCGACATTGGAAAAGTTGTGGGAAACCGCTCAGAAGTTGAGTCGACAAGAAGCCCGCATGAACTTGGCGTGCTGGCGCAATGCCGCAGGGGACTTGCGCACCCAATTGCAAAGCGCTCTCTCTCCGTCAAACAGTAGCGTCGAGCATCACCGCATGTTGCTGGAACGATGCCTCGACTTCATGTCGTCCGTGTCATTGTGCGACTTGGTCCGCGACGAATCCACAGACATCCGCAACTTGGCCATCCAAGAGACCTCCGACCACTTGTGCCGTAGAGTCGGCCAGCATAATATGCAGCGGTTCGAGTCCATGGCGACCGACGTGCGCGATCTTGCTGAGGTCCTGCGACGTGAGTCTGCACCATACTCAGGTACAGAACATTGTCCATCCTACGCAACACCCTCACATTATATCTGCCATGAAGGTCCATCACCACCATCATCGCCACGACCTGTCGAGGACCGACCTGTAAAACGAGTGCCTAATGCTCGTGCTTCTGGATGCAATGTGTGCGGCGACGACGCGTCGTCAACTGACGTGTTGATGGCTTGCGACAACAACTGCGGCAAGCTGTACCATGCCGCGTGCCTCGACCTGACTGGCCCGCCGGACGAAGGCTCGTGGTACTGCCCCGACTGCATGGAGTCGCTGGGGCTGTCTGGCGATGGGCAGGTGTTTCTGTGCGCGGCGTTGCATTGCAAGCGGATCAGCGTCACTCGGTACTGTGCCGTGCACAGTTGTCGGTTCAAGGGGTGCAACTTCCGACTGCGGGGGCGCGGGTACTGCCGCCGCCACGACACGCACCAGAAGCGGAGCATGGCGTCGGATTGAACCCGTCAATTATCTAGTGTTTGTGGGACGACGTTGGACGTAATTTATTTTTTACCAGATGTGTGTGTATATCACTATTTATATTTCAACAACTTGTCGTTGTCGTCGTCGTCGACATATGGATCGGGTGGTCCGGCAGAGGTTCCATCATCCTCAGGGTGAAGGGGGCGGGTACTTCCACGCGCAGACCCCCCCCCTTCATGCGCGTGGAGCTTGGAATGCTTGCCGCAATACCCCTGCTTCTTGCATCGGAACGGACATCCTTGGAATTTGCACAAGTGCCGCGGGCAGTACTTTTGGTTGAACACGCAAAAGCGACTGCATCGCATGGCCAGACACGCAACTTTGACGCATTCTGGACAGAACCAGTCGTCTTCAGGCACCACGTCGAGCTGCGGCTGGAGGCAGTACATGTGGTACTCTACCAAAGCAGTACAACATAAATGATATGCCTGATTAGGTACCAAAAAATATGATATGTACAAATTCGATGCAAAAACTGATTAGGTACAACATTAATGATATGTACATATTCGATGCGAAAACTGATTAGGTACAAAATCTCAAGGACTCGAGGCAAACATAGATACGATTCGGTACAAATCACAAACCTCGGCCGCAATTGTTGTCGCACAGCAGCATCTTGTCGTGGTTGTTGTTCATAAAGCACTTTTCACACCCGACGACACGGGAATGCGGGACGACTGGCGACGCTACCAGCTTTTCATCGACCGACTGGACGGGCGGTGGGGTGCTGGGCACGGGCAAGTCTACGTCATGTGCCGTTGAGAAAGAAATACAAACGAGATGGACGGACCCAGCGTGATTAGGCGGCTTCGGCGCGACGAGGCCGGGGACACGTCCGTGGGCGGCAGCGCCACTTCATGGGGGGGCATGGCGTCGTCTTCGTTGTGTCTCACAGTCGCATACGGCGATGTACTCGGCCGCCGCACTTTCTTTTCCAGTGGTAGGTGGGGCTTTGGATAGTCTTTTGATGGACGTTTCTTGTGGACGTCTATAAACGGTTGGTGCGGACTGGATGCTTCCGGGGGCTGCTTGGGACGGGTAGACTGAGGGGGAAGGCGGCGAGCGTGCGGATGCTGTGGGGGGACCTGGTCAGTCATCACGCGACCGCCGCCATCTACAGGTCTACTGGTTGAGCGATCGAGTGGCGATGTGTATGTATTTCGACAAGTACCTTCTCCTGGTGCGTGAAAACTCGACTCATGCGAAGAGGGGGGGGGCAAGGCACTTTGCAGTGCCGTCACGAGCCCGTCTACAGCTTGCACTTGACGCGCGGCGGACGCCGTCACAGCTGCTGGCGTGTGGATGAGGTGCATGCTCCCGAGGAATTGTAGGACCTCGGCCAGCACGGGTGACGACGTGTCTGCTCCAGTCGTCGTCGCCATGGCGGCTTCGACACGGCTGTGCAGCTCCGCGGCTCTGCTCGTCCAGCAGGCGACGGCGGTGGCGGTGTGTTCGTGGGCATCGGCATGGCCTTGTTCCCATGCAGACATCAAGAGCGGCCGGGCAGCGGCGTCCATCTTTGCGAGCGGGGTCTCCAGTTTATGTCGCAGAGAAAGCAGCTTGGCGTGGATCGCTTCGAGGGCCATGGTCGGGTCGGGAGGGAGAAGGGTGAGGTCCAACGCGTCAAAGTACGGGTCGAGTCCAGCCGTGGAGTGCCGCGCGAGGGAGTTGACGGCGGCGCTGACTTTGTGGAGACTGTGCCACACCCGACCCATGAGGTCGGCCCCGCGGGGAGTGGTGTCGTCCAGCGACGAGTGGCTGCCTTGGTGCAACGACGAGGTCGGGAGCAGCATGGCAAGGCCAGAACTCATGCGAGACAGTTGCCGCATCGCCGTCAACACGTAATCCTTGAGCTCTTCCGTTTGGTCCACGGAGGCCAACATGCGAAGCTTTCGCGCGTCCGCGGCGGCAAACAGATCCGTTTCCGAATCGCTGCTGCTGTCATTGGCGTATGGTCTACACACACACACGAACTTGCATAAGCATCAAGGGTTGGGAGGACGTCTCCATGTTCAGGCAGTGGTGCCTGGCACGAACTCCAGAGAAGAATCATTCGCTTTTCAGGGTTGAACATGGCGACGCCGCGAGTAAATCAACAGATGAGCCACCACTGCAAGCGGATGTCCAAGATGCACATGCAACGATTGATGGTGCAACGCGAACCTCATGTCCACGGATATGTCAGCGAGACGATTCAGGTCACTGGGGCGCTCCCCAGGCTCGTCATTACTGCGATTGGTGTACTCTTTGACTGGCATGCGCAAAGAGGGAGCAGGGAGCTAACCGTGAGTTGTTCGTTGGGTGCTAGCTCGCGCGGGTGGAGTGCGAGAAAATCGAGGTTTCTAACCTCGAGATAATAATAAAATTACGGTTTGGAGGAATAATAATGGCTCCGAAAACACGTCAAAGGCATAGTTGGTGTATCTAAAATCTGAAAATTAAATTCGTGAATTGTAAAATAATATCGCAACTTTCGGTTTATTCGAAGACTGGTACTGCGAAGTGGCTGGCTGGCTAACAGCTCTGAGGCTATGCAAGGTGGTGAATCCGCCGACGAAGTCGTAGCCAACTTCACCATCGACGCCCTCTTGGAAGGTAAATTGGATTGCCAGATGATAGAGGTGAGGTTGGCATGGAGCTGATTGGCATCGTGCACCACCAGTACCTTGCTTGGCCAGTTGACAGTGAATACAATTGAGCGCATCACCAACGACGGTTTTGTCCCACTTGTACAGGTTCTGTGGATGTTGCGATACTAAATCAGGGAATCCATCCCGAGATGCTACAGAAAAGAGGTTCCTAGCTGAATCGCAAGCAACTGCGGGGAATTTCAGAATGTGGTGGAGCCCTCGAGCTGCGGTATGAAAGACCACCAGCCAACGTTGGTGGACAAATTGGCTACCTGGCGCTATTCACAGTACTGCGGAGTATATGACTTTGTCATGTGCCATGTCACGTGTTCGCCTTTAGCATTCCTCAGCTTGTCCGAGGTACATAGGTAGGGTTCTTGGAAACCTGTAACGTTATGGCTGGCTTCCTCGAAGGGAGGGTCTCACATCGATTGGTGCAAGGGACACCTAGCTATGCAGCAGCTATGTACACTTGACGCCATCATCACATGCACAGATTGCTGTCAATCCCTACATGCGCATGGGGCTTGGTCATCGGATGTGGCTGCAGCGCCGCCAACGCGGCGTTTCAACTTTTCAACTTTGCTCTTAGCAACGACGAATTAATACGCCACTTGAAATTAATTTGGGTCTGCGCTAGCCTCCACGAACTGCATACAAACTTCAAATGATCTGACATGCGATAAAATAAAAAGCTATATTTTTATAAAATTTCATCCCCGCTTCCACATTTGATGAACGAACGAACCATTTTGCGGATCTCAATCGTGGTCGTCGCGGCCATAACCACCTGGGCCCATGAAAGCATCACCTACGTGCACTTGCGCCGGCACATGGAAAGTGCAGTGGGAAGAGGCCGTGGTAAGCACTTCAGGCTGTTGCCCTATATGTCGCTCACAACGAGGAACGTCGATAGAACGCACGCGATGAGGCTGTGCGCGAAGCCCTTGAGTGGAAGCACAAGTTCTTGACAGAGCAAGAGCGCCGACGAGAACTATCTAGAGCGCTCCTCGCCTTTCTCAAGCAGGAACCATCAAACGTACACAACGCTACGATCAATAAGGTCCCCTCCACAATGCTCAGGTGTGCAACACTTCCACGTCATGCAGTCCTCAATTGTCCTTCAGGGGCAACATCCCCGACACTACCGCGTTGCTCACACCCACCCTTCCTTCCTTCGACCTGGATTATGACGACGACGACGAGTCCACGGACGAAGATGTTGCCACCGCATCCAATCCGTCGCACAGTCGGCGCCACGTAAACCGTCCAGTGACGTTGACCTTGGACGACGACCCGCCCCTGCAAGTGCGACCCGCGCGTTCCAGCACGATCGACTCTGGCACTCGACCCCACATGTCCTCCCTTCTTCTCCCGCATCACCTCCGCGGCGGCGACGACAAGGAGCACAATCGCATGATTCGCATGTTGTACTCTCGGTCCATCGTCGGTCAAGTGCATGTCGACGCGCACTCGCGGCGCCTGCACGACCTCGTGCAGAGCATGACGTGCTTCCAGACCAAGAAGGATCGCGTGTTCGAGCACTTCGTCGTCACGGGGCTCTTGACGTCTTCATCCTCCGGCCTCGAGCGCGCAACAGCCGCCGACGGCAACGATGATAGTTCGTGTGGCTACAAGCCCAAAGTGCTGTTTCAGTACCCTCCACCGGTACTTACGTCCCTCCTGAGAGCCTGACAGCCATCCGTTTGTTTTTCACTTATTTTATACGTTTCTGTGCGTTGTGTAGTCCATCCATCCGATCAACGAACAAGCCGTGAGTGGGTTTTGCTTTCCCGTAGGCGTGCCTGCGTTTACATGCTCTGGCAAAGACGCAGTGGCTATCCAAGGCCATCTGGTATCGCAGTGGACATTGGATGGGCCCAGCACCCTGCGCCAACTCCTGGATGTACGACCTCGGCCCTGTCCCATCTGGACATAGAAAGGACTCATTGTGTACATAGCCACACAATGCCCAATGCTACACATTCCGCCTCACAGGATCCAAAGGCGAAGCTCTGTATGGCTTTTGCGCCGCCATTCTCATGGACGCAGCAGAACCACCCATTTTGATTGACCAATCAAACGGCACCGCACACGTGGCAACACAAGAACAACGGGTCGACGCCCCGTTAACCCGTCCGGTGCACCCGAGCACGCCGCCGGCATCGCCCACCAAGAAGAAACCCATTCCCACGTCATTGTCTGCGACAACGTTCCATTCGCTTGCTGGCATTTTGGCCTCCCCTGTCACAGCAAAGTCGGACGATGATAGAGGAACTACGCTGATTACGCCGCGATGTTATTGCATCACAAGCAAGTACCCGTTGTACAAATTGCACTTTCAGGTAGGTACCCCACTGATTCCCGTCATGTGCTCCAACCACGTGCACGACAATGCGTAGATCCTTCGACTTGTGATTGAAGCCGATTTGAAATCCAGGCAAGCTGCGCGCACAAGTCCGGCCTACCACCGCGCCCAGGACATCGAGGTACGGACCAAACACTTGTGGACATGCTAACATTCTTGATGGGTACATTACATAGGTGGTGCTGACGCAGAGAGTGCTCGGGCTGACCTTGCGGGAGCGCGACGAGTCGGTGCATCATCCCTCTCGGGGCATCAAGCCGCGGGACGCCGCCTTGTTGAACGCTATCGCTACCAAGCAAAAGACAAGCGGAGTTGTCGCTATTGCAGAGACCAGAGACGGCGCCAGGACGCCTCCCAAGACCCCCCCGTCCCCCCCCACGACAGCTCAGAGCCCTCCTCGGCGTCGTCTCGTCCGAAGTCATAGCTGGACGGCGAATTTCACACGACCCAAGCAAAAGCAGCCCCTGGGCACGCCGTCCGGCTGTCGACCGACTACTTCGATCGTTGTGCACGCGTGCTCTGCCGCCGCGTCCGCCGCCGGGATCGAGCCAGATGACATTGTCCGCGCCGTGAACGGGTTTCCGCTAGGTGCACGAATATATCTGTCCCATATACATCTCATGAACGAGTCGGCATTGTGTAGATCACATGACGTTCGTGGACGTGGTGCACCTGCTCGAGTCGTCCAAGCGACCGCTCAAGCTGGGGCTGCGACGACGGCTGCCCGCCACCAAGCCCCCGTCAGCTCCCCCGACGTCACCGGGCGCCAAGGACAGCTCGTCGTCGTCCTCTGCGGTCTTGGATGTACGACGGACGCCGCTCTCGTACATGCAAGTGGATCCTAAGTGGATGATGTATGTAGCTCCTGCGGAGGTTCCGCGGCATGCAAGTGGGGAGTCCTGGCGCGTGGTCGTCGATTCATTTGCCTCTCACCGAGTTCAAGTATCGGGTATGGAACCCAAAGAACATTCGATCATGACACCGTATCGCATGTCCGTCCACCCATCCGTTGTCACAGTTTCTGCACATTGTCACAGTTTGTGCACATTATAACTTACCCCGATGGCTCGTAGTTTCCCGTGGATCAAGCAGCGACGGACAACTGGACAGTGGCGGTGCTGCTCCGACTCGTGGGCGCCCCCACCGTCGTCAAGCTCGTGAGCTGCCTGCTCCTCGAGAAGCAGGTGGCGATCGTGAGCGACAGCACCGCCAAGTTGTCAGTAGTTAGCACGGCGCTGCTCGTGCTCCTGCGGCCGTTCCAGTGGCAGGTACTGTTTGTAGCCCTTGTTACCAGAAATATGTGGCTGACTTTTGTGCTGATTCTTTGCCAAACCTATCTATGGATCGATTTTCTTTGTACTGAATTTTGTATGTTAAATCTTGCAGTGTCACACTTATTAAAGTCACACACTAATTCCATGTTGATTGGTCCAAGTGGATGATTTGATTGGCTACTTGATTGGTGTTCTAGGTTTTGATTGGTCGATATAGCGATATTGTCTGCCGATTTGATGCTGCTCATTGAGCACCCCCTCTCTAATTTCGAATCGACTTGACCACACTACTGAATATGTACCACATCGACAACATGTCATCATCCATCGTTCTCGTTAGTACTACGACTACTACTACTACTACTACTACTACTACTACTACTACTTGTTGCTAGTCGACGTTCATTCCGATCTTGCCGGCCAACCTGCTCGAGTTTCTGCACTCGCCCGTGCCCTACCTCGTGGGCGTCCACAGCGTGGTCGTGACTATGGAGGACTGGCCCGACGTGTGCTTTGTGCACGTGGATGCTGACTCGATGCAGTGCCCATACTCGTCCCTCTTGCTCTCGTTTCCCAGAGCCAACGACCTCACCAAGCTCCTCCATGACGCCAGCGCCGCGTTGCGGGCGATGTCGTCTCGTCCAGGCCAGCCATGGCATGATCTCACGGGTGGATGGATGCGCCTCTCGTGTGAATACAAGCTTATATTGGTGGATATGTAGAAGCCGAGCAAAACGTGCTGGGGCTGTTGCTGCCCCAAGCAAGCGCCGTCCTCACGGCCATTTGCGGCGATCTCGCGGCCTTGAACATGCCACCACCTCCCCCCGTCCATGCAGGTAAAGCTGGAGATCACATGGAGGATCGTCGTACTTGGCTCATACGAGACATACTAGCACATATGTCGACGTACGACGTGCTGCAGCAGCAGTTTCATGCGCTGGTCGTGCACAAGAGTTTGCACCCCCACTTCCTCAAAGAATTTGCGCAGACGCAACTCTTTTGCCAGTACTGCGAGCTTTCAATGAACCTGTCCATGTAACCCCCTTTGCCACACGTGATACGAGTAGTACTAGTAGTAGTACTTGTGTACTAGGACAAGTGGTAGTAGTACTAGTAGTAGTCTAGACGTGTTTTGGAGAATACGGTGGTGCCACCCCGTTTAATAATTCACGATCTTCTTGATCGCTTCAAAGTTCTTGAGTGCATCCGGAAGGTAAAACTACGTCATAGAATAAACCATCAGTTCGTGATAAATATTAATATATATATATATAAAATAGTATTACCTTTTCATGGGCCAACGGGAAGGGTGTGTCGTAGCCCGTGACTCGAAGGATGGGCGCCTCCAGGCTCAAGAAGCATCGCTCTTGGATTGTAGACGCGATTTCCCCTGCGAATCCCCCCGTGCGCTAGAGGTATTGGGTTAGATGAGGGGGCTAGGACGAGTATCAACAACATACCGGCGCTTCATGTGACACGATCAGCCGCCCGGTCTTGCGTACAGACTGCTCGATGGTGTCGACATCCCACGGCAAGATCGTTTGCAGATCAATCAGTTCGCAGCTCACGCCGGCTTCTTCCGCCATGTCGCATGTCTAGGGTGACAATGAGATGACGACGAAAACTCAAACGAGGGTGTATACCTCCTCCAAGACACGCATCTGTGCTCCCCATCCCACGATGGTGACGTCCGAGCCCGACCGGACAATGTCGGCCTGCCCGAGGGGGACGGTGAAGTCACCGACGGGCACCTCCGCCACGGACGCGCGGTACAATGCTTTGGGTTCGAAGAACACGACCTAAATAGGCAACAACACATGAGAGGTCCTCACGGAAGCTCGAAATCTAGGACAAGCAGTGTGTACCGGGTTGGGGTCTCGAATCGACGCCAACAGCAGCCCCTTGGCTTGCACGGGGTTGCGAGGAATGACGACCTTGAGACCGGGGGTGTGGGCAAAGTACGCTTCTGGCGACTGGGAATGGTAATGCGCTCCGTGGCCGACAGCACCGTACGGCGCGCGGAACGTTAGCTTGCCACAGTCCCACTGGTTGCCGGATCGGTACCGAAACTTGGCGGCTTCGTTCACGATCTGGTCAAACGCAGGGAAGATGTAATCGGCGAACTGAATTTCGGCGATGGCAGTGCGCCCGACGGAGGCGTACCCGATGGCAAAGCCGGCAATACCTTGCTCGCATAACGGCGAGTTGAATACCCGGTCTTCGCCAAACTGCTCGCGGAGATCGACGGTGCATCGAAACACGCCGCCGAACGCGACATCTTCCCCAAAGACGGCGGCCGTCGGGTCTGTTTCCATGGCAACGCGCATGGCATCATTCAACGCTGTGAACATGTTCATGCGTTCGGTTTTGAGTGGCACCGCCGCGGACGAGAAGCGGCGGACGGATTTTGCAAGCATAATGGCGACCGATGCGGCAAATTCCAAAATGGCACGGTGGAAATCGTACTTCGAAGTTGTTCGATTGACGAGTTGATAATAGTAAAACGAGAGTTGAAGGGTCAACGGCAACTCGTTAATCACAACGATGGAAAGCAATTTGATTGGTTAAAATGAATACACTTCGGTCAATTGAAGGCTTCTTATTGGTCCGTTCGGTTGTACAGGATGTAATCAATCGTTTAAAACGTTTCGATCGTACAATATCAAAGCTATATTATGGAAAAATTGTGTTTGAAACACAATGTGCTAGTGATTAAAACCAGGTGACTGCGGTAATTTCACTGGCCACACATCAAGTCCACGTGGTGGTAATCCATGCTATTGAAGTTCAAGTTGGCGTACTACTAGTATAAACAATCGCCACCGCTTAATCCCATTGTTATGGTGATGATGTTAGCTTCAAAAGTGCTGTAATCGAGTGGATCAGTAGGTATGAATGACCCTACCTCGTTGTGCTCACTAAATCACGCGACATTCGACTCAAAAGGGGGTGTGAACTTCCTGGTAGGTAGGTAATCCACACCCTCTGGCCTTGTCACATTGAGAATCTTGACAATTGTAGGTACAAATATGATGCGAATGTCAGAACATGGTATCTCCTGGGCGGCCGACCCTATCCACACAACTCCAGCTGTCGTCGCTATACATACACCAGTTGTATAGGTTTACACTCTCCTGGTAGGCCTACATAACGTGGAGCTATTGTCATCATGATGCATGTGCTATGACGCTTCTACATGTTGATAGCAGGAGCTACTATCTCGCAGCTTGAAATGGTGTGGAAAGTTGAAAAGTAAGTACCCCATTTCGACAAATCCCCGGGATGCAAGGATATGAAAGGATGTCAAAAATCGAAGTTTGGATGTAACTTCGAGTCCGATTTCAAAATATAATTAAATTGGTTTGGGAACGCCATTTCGAGATTTAAGCTGCACCGCGCGCACCATGTTTCAACTTCGCCGAGGCCTCTTGCATGCGACGACCGGTCGCTCCTCGTTCCGCGCGTTCCATGCGTCGCGAGGCGTCATGATGCCTCAGATTTCGTTCAACTTGGCAGATATCGGTGAAGGCATTGCCGAAGTCGAGGTCTTGCAGTGGTTTGTCAAAGAAGGCGACAAAATTTCCCAGTTCCAAAACCTCGTCGAGGTGCAGAGCGACAAGGCCACAGTTGAAATCACATCGCGCTTTGACGGTGTCGTCACGAAGCTCCATTATGACGTCGGTGGTATGGCAAAGGTCGGCCACCCTTTGGTCGACTTGGACGTGTCTGACGAAGTGGCCGCCGCACACAACGCAGGGTCTGGCCCGAAGAAGTCCGCGGCACCCGGAGCCAAGAAGGTGGAGCAATTGAAGAAGGCAGTCTCTCCCACGCCCATCAAGTCGTCTCCTGCTCCTGTGGCCGCGATTCCTCAAGCGACGACCTCTGCCGTGTCGCTTTCGTCGATCGTCCGCACAAAGTCGGGCAAGGTGTTGACGACGCCGTCCGTTCGCCGTCTGGCCCGTGAACATAACATTGACTTGGAGGACATTCCCGTGGAAGGAGATCGCATCTTGAAGGGGGACATCCTCAACTACATCCGCGAACTGTCGGAAGCCAAGTACCAACCTGCCGAGTCGCACGCGTCGGACGTCGATGTTGCCGCCGCGCCGCCTTCGTCCAAAGCATCGGTGGAATTTCTGACCGAAAGCCAAGTCGTGCCCGTGAACCGTACGTGACCTCCATGACGTTTCCATGTGTCATGACCTCGTCCATGTTGTAGCCATTCAAAAGATGATGGTCAAGGCCATGAACGCGTCGCTGAAGGTGCCGCACTTTGGGTATGCGGACGAGGTACATGCAGAAACGAGTTCTTGTTGATGTGGCTCATATAAACCAACTAGATCGAAATGGACGCCCTCGACGAGCTGCGCCAGCGCCTCAAAGTCGTCGCTTCCGAGCGTGGCATCAAGGTCACATACCTTCCGTTGATGATCAAGGTATGATTGTCACCACAATATATATATATATTTAACCGCCTGGCAAATATACGATATATATATATATTTGCAGGCCGCGTCGTTGGCCCTCAAGTATTACCCCGTCTTGAATGCCTCCGTGAGCGACTGCGAAGGCTTCATCACCCTCCACGCCCAGCACAACATTTCTGTGGCCATGGATACCCCCAAGGGTCTTCTCGTGCCTAATATTAAGAACGTCGAGGTATGCTATTTCATTGAATTTAGCAAACAACTTTTACTTATGGTCGTTCAATATTCCCTAGTCGAAATCGATTCTCGATATTGCTCAAGAGCTGGGGCGGTTGCAAGCGCTGGCGTCGGCGGGCAAGTTGGGCCCCAACGACTTGACGGGCGGGACCTTCTCGTACGTCTTGCTCTCTCGTCCACACAATGGCTTTGCATCTTGGGCTATCTATGCATGCTGAAACGAATATACTCATGGATGGCTACTGCGTGCTGTGATAGGCTGTCCAACATTGGAAGCATCGGCGGCACGTACATGGGGCCCGTGATCATGGTACCCCAGGTCGCCATCGGCGCCATCGGCAAGATCCAGACGCTGCCGCGCTTCAACGCCGCGGGAGCCGTGGTGCCGGTCAAGGTGATGAACGTGTCGTGGAGCGGCGACCACCGCATCATTGACGGCGCGACCATGGCTCGGTTCTCGACCAAATGGAAGCACTTTTTGGAAAACCCCACGGCGATGCTGTCTGAATTGAAGTAAAACATCAACCACACATTGATATCTCTCTCTCTTTCGTGTATATATATATATATATTAAAGACAGTAGACTTGCAAACTAAAACGTCTTAGCCCGATTTGATGATCACACCCCGCCGCGACGCCGTGCTGAGGATGTCCTGCATCACCTCTGGCGGCAATTCCATAAACTCCTACAATAATTCTCTATGAATATCGATAATATTATATATATATATATGGCGTTCGAGGTGTATATATGAGTAAGTATACGTACTGGCATGCCAATGATCGCTCCAAAGTGGCCAAGGATAAAGTCAATGCAGCTCCGCTTGAGACTGTGGGCTTGGCGGGCGTGTGCCGTCTGCAGATATACCCCACGAGTTAGAACCATTTATATCGACAGTCTCGGTTATACCACAATGACAAGTGCAAAGTTGTCGGTTGTGATGCTCTTTTGTATCGCACGTTCGCATTTCCTACGTCATTCATATATATAATATATATATATAATATATATTATTTATATATATAAATAAATAGACCATAAAATTAAAATAAATTTAATAAATTGATATATATATATATATACAGTGGGCAAAATCTCGCCAAAATATATTATACATCACAGACCGCTTCAAGTTGTCGAGGAGGAACTGGTCGGCCAGGGCTATCAAGTCCAAGACAAACTCTATGCATCGACCAAGTTAGTCGATATCGAGGCGCGTACTTGGAAGCCATCCCACCGACGTCGTCCGCCCCTTGATGCTCCAGCTCGGGGACAGTGTCGGTGTAAATATAGTGGAGCATCGCAACGAATACAGCATGCTACAAGGTACACACACCCGTGCTCATCCGCATAATCGTCTGGACGGTATCGCATATTTGTTTGTACGGATAAGTGGGGCAGGTCAATCTCGGCCTGCAAACTCTCGCGCATGGGGCCGCCCAGCATGATTTCCAACGGCTCGCATCGTGCCATGAGGATGCACCGGTGCGCGTACACGACGCGTCCGTCCACGACGAACCGGACGTCGCTCCGCACGGGGTTGTCGACAAGACTCGCCAAGTCGCGCCCGAGCGACGGGGCCGCCGCCGCCGCCCCTCTCGTCGGACCAAACGACGACGTACCCGTGATGCACACGGAATGGTAAAACCCCGCTGCAATCTATGCACAAATACACGTATTGAAGTGTAGACGCCCCTTCATTCGGTACCTTTAGCACTCTGACATGGCCAAGGGACTCGATGCAGATGGGCAATAGTCTGTCCAAGTTGGTGTTGGTTCCCAGCTGTCCGTGGTTGTTCCGCCCAAATGGATACACGCGGCCTGCGTCGCTCAGCGTGAGCGTGTGGTAGCATCCGCACGCCACGTCCACGATCGTGAACGCCGTCAAGTGCGACACCAACTACTCGACAGTGTAACAGAAATGAAAACACCAGTCTCTTCCGTGTGAGCTTCGTACGGTGGGAGTGGCCACCGTGTGCTGGTGGCCGAGGCCGAGCTGGCCATTGTCGTTGCGCCCAAACGTATACACGTGGCCCGCCTGTGTGAGCGCCACCGAGTGGTAGTACCCGCAGGCCACCTGCACGACGACTTGACAGTCGGGTCCAAGGTACACGGGCACGGGGGTGGGCTTGACGCCTGGCGGGTCTACGCCCAGTTGGCCGTGGTCGTTCTTGCCAAATGCAAAGAGCCCGCCCTCGGCTACAGTATATCATCGCGTACTTGCGTTTATCCCGAGTACTAGTATATTGACGGTACGACTACTACTAGTAATACTGCAGTACCCACAGACACGAGGGAATGGTACTGGCCACACGCCATGGCGAGCACCCGCCGGCCGCTGAAAAACGGCACCCGGTGCAGCACATGCTTGTCTAGTCCGTCGGGAATGCCCAGCTGCCCAAAGTCATTCCGACCACACCCGTACACTTCGTTGTCCTCTGTCGCCACGAGCGTGTGAAAGTAGCTGCTGGCCACTTTGACCACCGCGATGGCGTCCACGCGCGTGGGAAACGCACAGGCGGACGTCGTGCCAAGGCCCAGTTGCCCGCGGGCGTTGTAGCCAAATGTGTACATGTCCCCGTCATCTACACGATTGGCATGAGGCTTGGGACTGGTTGAATGGATGCAAGGTATGGTCGTACGTACCTGTGATTGCCGCCACGTGTTCGCAGCCGTTGCCAGCGCTGAGCTTGACCACGTGCTTGTCCATGAGACCCATGATAAGCTTGAACGAATTCACTCGCTGCGTTGTGCCCATACCGCACTGCCCGCTAGAGGTCGTTTTGGTTGTTGGTTGCTGCAAACGTGCTCAAGTGGTCGTCGCTACCTGTCGTTGTACCCGCACACAAACACTTCTCCGTTTTCACACAGCACGACCGTGTTTTCGTTGCCACATGCGACGTCGACGACGTTGCGTCCTTGGCAGAATTCCACTCGGACGGGTGCATAACGCGGAGCGGTATCCCCGTGTCCGAGCTCCCCGTACGAGTTCTATCAACGCCAATATCAATGCCAGTGCGTCAGTATGATGAGCGAACGCTGCTGTTCGCACCTGGCCAAACGAGTAGACAGAGACTTCTGTTTCCTCCACCAATGCAAGGTCATGCGCCATGGCGCTGGTGTCTGTCAGCTAACGAATGTGCAATCAGCTAATGTTGGGGATCTTACTGTTGATGGAAAAATTTGGCTAGTTATCCGAAAAAATGGAGACGATCCGAATAATTCCTCATACTAATACAGTAGTAATAAGACTGAAAAAAATAACAGTAAATATTTTAATAATAACTGCAATAATTACTCCTTTTCAAAACACATCAAATTCAAGAATACTATTATTATTTTGCTCTATATGAGTACATTCTTCACTATGATATCCGTGGTACTGTACGATGGTTGCAAACCATGTGTGATGTGTCGATATTGAGTAATTACATGTGGGAAGTATGAAAACCTCTCATTTTTGGACTTGCTAAACGTCTCTATTAATAGATGATGGGACTCACCTGATACCATACATTAATCAAGTCCGGTGAGTGTATCATTTTTATAGGGTAACTGGCATATTACTATTGATGAAAGCTAACTGTTGAGCAAATACTACAGAAGTACTATTTTAATAGTACTTCTGTACTACCATGTAGTATTTGCTTTCAGTCTTTTTAGTGATACTATTTTAATAGTATCACTAAAAAGACTGAAAAAAATAACAGTTTCTATTTTAATATTAACTGTAATATAAAAATATTACTGCTTGAGTGCTATTACAGTGTATCTCGTAAACTGGGTTAATACTACTGTAGTACTGTATTCATACTATTAACACGTAGTACTACTATTAACACGTAGTACTACTATTAATACGTAGTACTAGTACAGTACCAACATGGCCTTGACAGACAAGAAGTGCACACGAATCCACTGAATGAACAAGTAATAGTTAACATGACTGCATCACCACGTCGTCCGGGTGGTGTTGTGCGGGGGTGTCTTGGAGAGCTTGGGCTTTCTGGACCCAGTGGAGCTCGACGAGGCACGGCAACTCGAGTTTGTGCTCCCCGTGCTCGTCTTCTGTGACGTCGGGGTTCATCTCGATCAGCCGGGCGATCGACAGCCGGACGTCAGTTTGGCGGCGATGGGACAGGTTCGCCATGACACATGTGGACATGAGGTAGTCCACGATCCCATCTACGGACGCAGAGAACACCGTGTCGATGCGCTGGGACTGCATCGGCGAGAACAGGTGCGGTCGGTCGTGGAAGATCTGCTGCAGCTGGTCATGGTTGGGCTGGGATGGCACGTACGCGGCATTGAATGACTTGACCACGCGCTCCACGTCTTGCATGAACGGACACGAGTTGAAGTCCCCCGTGTTGAGCATGATGCCGAGACGTCCATTGGGGACCAAGATGCGATGGAACTAGCGTCACACCAGTCAGGATCAAGGAAAATAGAGCAAAGTGTACTTCGTCAAGAGCATTGGCCTTCGCCATGCAGTGGAACGCGTGTCCGATGGCAATGTTGCCCACCGATTCGTTTGGAAGTGTGGTGGCGCTGGCGGTGCCGTCGAACACCGGGACGTCCGACACGAAATGGCGGAACTCGGTACGACGATCATTGTTGGGCTCGACTGCAGCAAAACGCGTGCCTCCTGGCAAGACACGCTTGAGTGCCTTCGTTAGCTTGCCTTGACCAGCGCCGATCTCGACTATGTCGTACACAGCTGAAGGATGTCGGTCTTGCAGGTGAAGGACTTCGTCGAGCTTGTCGAACGCGTGAAAGGGGTAGTCGGGACGAGCTAGTCACGGATAGTTCATGAGCGATTTCATACCCATCATGCACGTATGTACATACCCTTGTGGTAGATGCTGTATCCCTGGGGCAACGGAACGCTGGAGAAGGCTTTTACGATTCCTTGGCGGTACATGATGCTTCACAAACTGTCGAATGCGCACTGGCGTGCGAATCTATTTGGTCAACATTTTAAATGACGTTTTAAATACATTCGACCACAAGAAAAACTCACTTGTGCTGCATTTTGTATCGGAAGTGCATCCAGCAGTGTTTTTTTATATTGGCTATTAATACCAAACGGAGTTTGGCTCATCAAGATCGACAACATGGCGTGTCACTTTGAAATCCATAATATCTAGCCAATCAAAACGCTGGAAGTAAGAAGTGATCCCAGGGGTCCTCCACCACCACCGAAGACGTTGGAGTCGCAAGGGTGTATATGTATTGCGCAGTACTATACAATCGTACTACAGTATGGAGTAGTTACTGGTTGTAGCATACCTCATGGTGCTGAGCACATTTCCAGTTTGCTGGGATTGGTACCGCTGTTTTATTGGCTAAAATATCATTTATGAAATCGAATTGTGCATGTGATTGGCAGGTTAGGATTCTCAGTTTCATTACCATTTTAACCAATCAAACAACGTTCATATTTGTCAACACCATGACAGCAGCATCGACGACAGATCAAGACCAGGACCTGAAGCATGTCCTCAACCTGCTTTTGATTGCCAATGGAGTATGTGACGTGACGACCTACATGACAATGCACGATGACAATGTCGGTAGGCGCTGTCGACTTTCATCTTCTTGAACAGCATCTTCGTCCTCAACGACGCGGGCGGGCTCAACGAGTTCCTAAGCAGTGCCACGTATATGACGTACATCTTCGCTGCCATCATCATGCTCAACCGCAATCCTTCGGCCTTTTCAGTACACTCGTCCTTTCCAATCAAGCTCTCATCCGTGTATGCATTCAGATTGGCATGCTGCTCGGGTCGTCTGTGGTCTTGGCGGTGCTGGCCTTCATGAACACACTCTACTGGGTCCTCCTTCCCCCTCCCCCCATTTGCAACCTCCCATACTCTCAATAGGTGGTTGCTTCCTCGAACATCGACGACCATCCCGTGGCGGCGGGATTTGCAGCCGCCTTCAACTTTATATTCTTCGGCGTCGAAGCGTCGTTTATCGTGTTGCTGTATCGTTCAAAGCACACCATGATTGAAACCTACTCCGGTACTCTCGCCGGCATGTGTCCTTCCTCATGCATGTCTAGCCTACGACTACATCCCCGACACCCATGCCGCCGCCGCCGTGCTGTCCTGCTCCCACTGCGAAGGCGACGACACGTTCTCGTACCAGTCGACGGCTGCTGCACCAACAGCCGACATTTAAGTTCAACCGACATGAACTACTAGTAGTAAAGTTATAAAACTGCGACGACGTTCAATCATCATCATCAGTGCCCCCCCCCTCCGTCTCTAGCCAACACCATGTCGATGGTGCTGTGCACCCAAGGCTGCGCGTACAGGTTGGAGTCATGCAAGTGCGCTGGTACGGGCGTCGCCTGTGTGGCCATCGACAGAATCTAGCCCCAAGCACTCGTCATGTAAGTACTTGGAGAAGACGTCACTCACCTGGTTGTCCGTGTCTTGGGACTCCACGACCTTGGTCATAAACCCCGACGGGTCGGTTGCAAACTGGTGCATCCACTCTCGTGTCGCCACGTGGCCGTTGATGCGATGCACGACGTCGGCCATCTATTAGTTTTGACAGGTTTTTTACACCAAGTTGCTCTAGAACGACGTACTTGGTGCTCGAGCAAGTCGAGTTCAGGCTTGGTACGTTTGCGATGGGCGGCAAGGCCAGCCAACGCACGCTTTTGAGCGTGCAGCAACGTTTCCTGGGCTTGTACCTAGTAATAATATTAATTATCAAAAGAATGGCAACATACCAGCCAAAAAAGGCCAACAAATATTATAATATATATATTATAATATCATATATATATATATTATAATATTTGTTGGCCTTTTTTGGCTGGTATGTAAAAAGGCCAACAAATATTACAAACATGCAAAATACATATATACATATATATATAAATTGAAACCGTAACAACACACATATCATCATCATTGGTCGCCCACCTCGATGCTAAAGTATTTGGTGTCCAAACACACTTGGGTTGTATCTTCCAACCTATGCCCATCACGATCATCACGAGAGATGTCATTATGGCGGGGGGTTACTGGAGGGTAAAGTCTATGACAGTGGGGCCGACGGGGGTGAGTTTTGTCTGCAGCGAGCCCATGATCGCATGGATGGGCTGCTCGTGGCACTCAAAGACGCGCTGGAGGACTTCATCATGGGAAATGACGCGGCAGTCGTCCGTCTTCATCAGGTCCTTCTCCTTGATGTACTGCCACAACGCGAACGAGATGTCGGCCTTGACAAACGTGTCGTCGGGGCCGCAGTTGGGCGTCAAGTAGGGCGAAATCGCATTGAACAGGTCCGGCGACAGCGCAAAGCGCTCGGGGCTTTGGTTTCGAAGCAGCTGCAGCCGCAACCGGTGGGTTTGGAATCCCTTTTTGCCCGGTCGGGAGATGGAAAACCCATCCGAGTCGTCCCCAGAGCGAAAACTCGACCACTACCCCATGCATGAGCATGCGCTAGGAATGTGGAACTGTGTACCTCGATGGGATTGCTGCCTGGGTAAAGCTGGTCGTCCAAGTCCAAGATGGCCTTGCGAAAGAAATGCGAGAACTTCTTCGCGGTGGATTGGCATGCAGCGTTCTTGTTCCCGTCTATGATGGTGCCCTCGACGCGGAAGGTCCATTCGCCGTCGTCCAACAGCTCGGATCGGTGCACTTGGTCCGCATGCCCTTCGCTCGGAGCCGCATGGACCTCGCCTTCCAACTTCACAGACGGAACGAACGAGTAATAGAACGACACTTTCAGTGTTTTTCGGATCATCTGCATCGGGTCAAGATGAATGGAAGCCATGGTCGGAGGGAGTACATAGGCAGGCTCACCTTGGGAGGGGCCTGGATGAGCATGTCGAGCTGTCTAACGTGGCGTTCAATCGTCGAATCTAATTTCGCCTCCAGTGCCTTCAATTGCTTATGGGACGCGTATTGGTCCGGGTCAATGGTCTCCACCTAGCGCATGAAGGGAGGGTACGTCAAAGGAGTCCATGACCGAAGACACTCGGCACCTCTGCATGGAGAAGCTCGACCGCTTTCCGCTTGGATGCTGCCGGTTCTGTCATGCTTTGAGAATATTGTTGATTGGCTACCTGTTATTAAATGATACAGGTATTCTATAATTCCTGTAGCATATTATAGTTCTGCCATGACAAGAGTTGAGTGCTTTGGCGGGTATGGCTCGTTTGGGGAAATGGAGCACTTCGAGGCAGACGACCGGGAGGACATCGTCGCCATCGCCGGAGGGCATGTAGCGACATACGCAGCAACGAAGACAATGCTATTGGGATGGGGGACGGGACTTCACGGCGAGAGCCTCAGCCCGCTCACGTCTCGATGGTCGCTGTCGGTGCGAAGTATTGCCTGCGGTGGGTCGCATGTGCTTCTGTGCACAACAACAGGAGAGTGTCTTTGGTGGGGCGATCAGTTCAATACCAACGCCACTCAACCAAAACCTGTTGTCTTTCCTTCCCCAGATGTCTTCGTGACCCAAGTAGCTGCCGGCGAAGCACACTCCCTCGCCCTGGATGCCGCCACCGGGCGAGTGTTCAGTTGGGGGTCGAATGCGTTTGGCCAGTGCAGTGTCACCAAGGATGAAGCCATCGTCACTGGGGTGCCTGTGCCCCAAAGTCGGTTCATTGCCGCAGGGGCCCACCACAGCGCCGTGATCTCATGCGATGGGCATTTGTACACGTTTGGGTGGGGACTGTACCATCAATTGGGGCACGGAACCACCAACAACGTCTTCACCCCGACGCGCGTCCGCAGTTTGGAAGGCGTCGGACAACTGCAGCGCAACCACTTCACAGGACTCGCCCGAGTCGCTTGTGGGGCGTGGCACACGGCAGGTAGGCCCTTGCTCCTTTCAAAGATCATGACAAAACCATGTGGTTGTAGCTCTCACTACGACCGGCGATGTGTACACGTGGGGCTGGGGCCAGCACGGCCAACTCGTACGCGATCTGTTTTTCCCATTCTCCGTACTTCGAAGTAATTGGCATGTGTTGTTTGCAGGGCCATGCGACACTGGCTAGCCAAGCGTTTCCAACACTGCTGGATGTGGACTACACTGTCGCAGACGTTAGCTGCGGCACTCGACACACGACAGTGCGCACGGTGGACGGCGCCGTCCACCGGTGGGGCTTCACAGGTCCATCGCGTCGGATCGTCGCGGGCCAAAGCGCCAACGCAAACTCAACCCATGTCCAAGTTAAGGCAGAACCATGCCACCGTATCGCATCTGGCGCGTACCACGACGTGCTCGTAATAACTTAAAAAAGACCAACCACACAAACCAGTCAACCTCTGCGAAGTTAGTTAATGTCTAGTCGGTCGACTCATCAACGTCTTCCGCCGCCGCCGCTTCGTCCTCCTCTTCTTCGTTGGACGTGGCCTTGTTCTGGTCGCCTTTGGCATCGGTCTTGGGAAACTTTGCCAGCGTTTCACGTGCAAACTCGTCGTCGTACAATCCCAGCGCTTTCAACGTCGACGTGAGCGCAAACCCGTCCGGCTTGGCGGCCATGACGTTGATCGTGTTTCGACCTCGCCACACGACCAGGTTGAGCAGCAGTTGTCTACATACACATTCGCGCATCACACTCCATCAACAAGTTAGAGGCAATGTCCTACTCTGGGATCGTCAGGGCCACGCCGTCGTCCCGCGTCAGCGTGCACGCATAACTGCCGAGGGGCGCGGCCTTGAATACGGCCGCGAGGTCGGCGCTGAGGTCGTCAAACTGCAGCAAGTCGCCCCGGCGGTCGAGGAAGTACTGAAAGTCGCGGTTGCCCACGGTGAGCTTTCGCACGTTCATGTGGGGCAGCGCAATGTGCGCCCCCGACTGAGTCAACCGGTAGGTGCTTTCGCCAATGCCCACGTCATGGCGTTCAAACACTTTGATGCCAGTGTACACGACCTACAGGTAAAGTCGACAATCAATTGAGATGCCCAATATATGCATGAATCGAAACAACATAGATGAATGAATACATTTATATAACATAATAGATGAAGAATAAATTCATACAATATGAAACATCAATTTATACAAAAACGATGAATACTCATTTCGCCTAAAAAGTTTGCCAATTTTGGGTAAGGTTGAAATCACCACGAAATCGAGCAAAGCAGTTTTATTGGATAAAAAGAATGCAAAAATATCTGATTGGCTCAAACAGATGAAAACACACAATATAGGTTAAAGATGCATGAGGTTAGTTTCTGTGGAATGCCTACCTTCATATCGAGGGCTTTCATGGCCGGCAGCAGCTCCGTGGCCACAGACGACGTGACAAAGTTGACCGTGCGCCCTGTATCCGACCGCGTAAACAGCTGACTGGCCTCAAAGCCCGCGTCCAGCTCGTACGTCGACTGAATCGACTTGAATTCGGTGAACGGGAGGTACTCTTCGCCGTGTTTCTTTCCCTTGGGCTGCTGGCCCCGGGCGTTGGCGTCTTCGGGCGGGGTCTCCCCCACCTTTTCGACCAGTACGATGAAGAAGCCTCCCGTGTTCTACTCCCAAGTCAGAACAAATCCCTTGTCGTGGTCGTACTTCGTCGTGGGGCACACAGCGCATGCACCTGTCCAAGTGGAATGCTTCGGCCTCGGCAGCCGATGGCGGGAACACCGAGCCCGGGAGGGTCTTGTACTTGCCCTTGGCCGCCTCCGCCGCCTCGTCAAACACTGGCGTCTCCACCATGTCGTAATCGTACACCTTCCAGGTCGAAATCCCCGGGCGGCGCTTGAGCTTGGGCAGGATCGCCGACACGTCCAGGAGCCGCAGCGATCCGTTGGACCACCGAAGCAGCTCCGCGACCACCGCCTCGTTCTCCACGGGGTTGAACGAGCACGTGGAGTAGCACATGCGCCCCCCAACCTACGACAAGAAACGACGTCAGCGGAGCTAGGGCATGAACTGACGTATGGGGCCGACCTTGAGAAGCGTGGCGCCGTGCTTGACGATGGACAGCTGCAGCGGATGCAGCGACAGTCCGTTGCGGACATGCCACTTTTGCCAGATCATGGGGTTCTTGCGCATGGTGCCGTCGCCGCTGCACGGGGCGTCGCACAGGATCCGGTCAAAGAAGCCCTGCTTATTGTCGGAGCTGCTCAGCAGCGGAAACTTCTGCGCTTCGTGGCACGTGATCACCAAGGCTGGAGACCCCACTCGCTTGGTCTAATGCCGACGTCGTCATGAGTTTCCTAAACGAGAAGGCGAGAAACGACGTACTTGATGGGTCAGCATGTACGCGCGCTTGATGTCAATGTCGTTGGCGACGATCAACCCCGTGGGCATCTTGCCCGTCTTGCTTTCGTCGTCATGCAGAGATTCCAACAATTGGGAAGTCTTGGACCCTGGCGCCGCGCACATGTCGAGCACCTGCGCACGCGATGACATATCACGGCAAGCAAGTGGGAGGATGGAGGGCATAGCTTACCTTGTGGTGGGATTCCACGCCCAAGACGAGCGGGGGGATCATGCTCACCGCTTCTTGGCGGGTAATGTCGCCTGAGTCGGACAAGTTGACCAACCACTTTTGAAACTCGCTCAACAGCGCCAACTTTTTGATCTTGCGACGTTCGACACTCCATTGGAATCCCTTGCCTTCGGGGTACCATGGCATGGTGCTGATCGGCGCCACCTTTTCGCCGTCGATTTCCAAATCTTCGTACTTGAAATCCGTGGCAATGCGCTCCTTGATCCTACACATCCATCATAACGTGTCCTCGTGTGCGTTTTCGCTACACGTACTTGTCTTCGTATGCACACGAGTTGTTGATGCGGAATGTCGTTGGCAATGGGAGAGACAAGTGCTTCAAGAAGGCGTCCCATTCCTCCGTTCCAACAATCTCTTGTTCCTGGAGCGGTTGGCATCAGTGTGGCGGATGTGTCCGTCGCGATGTGGACGTACCGCGTAGTACTTCTCAAAGTGCTCGTTCTTGTACACCCATTCACCAAAGCCAGCTTCGCGGTCGCCGTCGCGTTCGTTCCTGGACTTCTTGTTCCATGTGTTCTCGCCCTTTTGGCCCTTGCGCTTGCGAAAGTTGCGCTTCCCCATTCTTATCTTACCCCGACTTTCACCGAAAATGCAATTGCTCGTCCAGTTGTCCAATTATTCTCCTTTATCCGGAATGCCGGATACAGATGACCGCCATTCCGATTCCTCATTGCTGAGTGACGATCGCGAATTGCAAAGGTCGCGTTTATGGGCGCTGGGGGTTGTACGTGTGTTACTCGTCCACTGACCACTGTGGTCACTCGGATACATTTCAAACACTTCAGTCACTACAACCATTTACAACGCCAGGGAGGGATATTGCATTCAAAGTGGTGGAATTACTTCCCGGTCATTTGTAGTAGCACAGTCGTGGTGGCCGACTTGTATTTATCACGCCTGTAACTTGGCTGTCGTGTCCCAGTGACCTGTGCCACCTACGCACATTCAGGAAACTCCTACGAACTTCAATGACGACATGAGAATACATTGGGGGTCGCATGTGCCAAGTGAATATGCGATAGATAAAATGACGTTCGTCACCTTGAGTTTTATCGCATATTAACTTGGCACACGCGACGGTCATACACTATCGCAGATTAGCTTGGCACATGCCTCCCCCAATGTATACACATACATACATACTACTAGTAGTACAGTAGTATATGAACTGGTCATTTCTATTGGCATGTCGCCATGACACCGATGTACTAGTACTACCGGTACGTGGTACATGGTACCGTGAATTGGGAGATAACTAGACAACCGTTTGTGGTGGGTCTTTTCTGTAGTTCTAGTGCGATATCATCTTTGGCAAGGTCGGTTGTCGAAAGATATCAAACTAATCGCGACCAGTATAACGTTATGGCCACAGATCTGAAACGGTCAAGAGACCATGTACGCTACGATTGGTTGAAATTCTCCCATATTCCACGAATCCCATCACTGTTTTTCCTTTCACCGTGGCATGGATGTCCGATATCCCACTCTTTTTGGCCAATCCAACGTGTACAGTTTCAATCCGAAACCACAAGTTTAACGTTCCGGCAAGAACAAGGCCCATGCCAAACCAAAGTTGGTGATTGCCGTTTCACCCTCATCGTACAAGGATTCGATTCAGCATTCCGCTGCGCACGAACGTTGGCCGGTTGTACATATATACTGACCGTAGCTGTATCACTAGTCAGTGTTTCTACCGCCACGGATATACACTAATACATTACCAAGAGGACTGCACACAGGAATCGTAAGGAAAGGCTTGAACATGATTGTCGAACCTCGTTTTTACCAGCACCTTGAAAAACGTAGGTATTTCAACCTGCCATTCCGCATGTGCACATTAGGCATCAAGATGTCGCGGCGATTGGAACATCCGCCATGTCGTTTCGACGCGCCACTTGAAAATGCCTAATTAGGGTGATCTTTTGCCCTTCAAAAGTCCTAATTAGCCAATCAACCGGATGTTACATTCATGTCCGAAACGTACAGAGGCGCGTGAAGAAATCGCCGGTTGCACACGGTTGCGTCAGTCGAATCGTTCCAGCGAATAAGGCGACGGCTGACGACACACCGCCACCTTCAAGTCGAGTGGCAGCAAGTTGACACGGTTGCTCATTTCACATTCTTCAACCAAGTGCCGACGCCGATGGTTGACATCGCCCCGCAGTTCCAGTTCCTCACACAAGACCTGTCCAAGTCCCAATTGGCCGTGACGTCCCCCGCCAAGGACGCGCTGTGGCTCCGCGGCCAACCGGCACAAGTCCAATGGGACGCAGTAAACTTGGCAGCGGACCAAGTGCGAATAGTGCTGCTGCAAACCAGCTCCATTGCCAACCAGACTGGCGCGTACACGATGGTGGCCGAGTGTACGTCCAACAACGGCGTGTTCGAGTACCGCAAGGTGCCATGGGGCCTGTGCATGGACAACGACTACTTTATCCGCGTCATGTCGTTGGACGGCCAGCACTTCGTCGACGGGGATTGTTTCTCCATCAGCGTATAACTTATCGAGTCGCGCACAGCTATGTATGGCGCATGTATCATTAATTTAATAGAGTTCTCCTTCGAAGAATGAACTATTCGAACATTTCCAAAGCTCGACCCTTCTTCCGCCCAACTGTCACGACATATATCCTTCTGTCATGCATAGTACAAAAACGAGCGCATTACGATGCGCCATGGTGAAGCATATGCACCCGCGACAACTGTCTGCTGCGGCCCGTAGCATGCATTGTCCACAGATTGGAGCCACGCTAATCATCGGGTCTTGCTTGCCTCGTGGTTGTCGCATCTACACGTATCTCATGTGTTGTCTGGGGGGTTGTCGCATCTACATGTATCTTGTCAAGAGGGACGAGGGATGTCCTCTTGTTGCATCGACATCGAATGGAGAATTCCATCGATCGGCGCGCCGGTGTTCTCTGCTGCCACGTTCATGATGAAATCAGTCTCAGGATTCTCATGTTGAATGAAGAACCAACACTCCAAGTTGAAGTTGCAGCGTTGACATCTCCAATACTGTAAATGGATGGATGGGGTCATTGTTCAATTATTTCGATGCCCAGCAAGTACCGTAGGATTGTCATTGCATCATCATGCGGACCAACATGATGGACAAGGAGATGGTTCGTGGAGGGTCTACTACATTACGTTGAGGCATATTTACATGGACGCGACTTGAGGTTCGGCGGCGGCGTCGTCGCTGCGTGAATGGGTCACCTTGACCACATACGGCGTCTTCTTGGACGCGACATGCGACGGCTTGCCCACGAGTCCAAGGTCCGTGAACAACGCGTTGTCCTTTTCGAAGGCCGGGTTCGCGGTCGTGAGAAGCGTGTCCCCGTTGAAGATCGAGTTCGCGCCAGCCATGAAAAGCAGTCCTTGTTCAGCGTCCGAGAACGACATGCGACCGGCACTCAATCGGACCATTGTCTTGGGCATCAAAATGCGCGCCGTTGCGATGGTGCGCGCCATGTCGAACGCGGTCACGGGCGGCAAGTCCTCCGAGGCCAACGGCGTGCCCACCACAGACACTACACAACACCACCGCGGTAAGAACGTCGAACTTGGTCAATATACAAAGAGAGCACGACTATTTCGTACCCAAGGCATTGACTGGCACGGATTCAGGATGTTCTTCCATCGTCGCCAACGTGTGCAACAACGCGACGCGATCATGTTCCTTTTCGCCGATTCCCAAAATGCCGCCGCAGCACACGGAAATGCCCGCCTTGCGCACATTCGCGATCGTGTTCAATCGATCATCGTACGTGCGTGTGGAAATGACCTATGGATGAATGAGCATGATGTTGCAGCAGGGTCAGCTATAGGGTAATGCATCATTCAGGAACAGGGTAATGGCCATACATTGGGGTAATGCTCCCGGCTTGTGTCCAAGTTGTGGTTGTACGCAGCCAAGCCCGCTTCCTTGAGCTGCACAGCTTGCTCTTCCGTCAACATGCCCAATGTACAGCACACTTCCATTCCCATGCTGTTCACTTCGCGCACCATCGTCAACACGTCATTGAACGCGTTCTTTTTGCCCACTTCGCGCCACGCAGATCCCATGCAAAAGCGCGTGCTGCCCGCCTTTTTCGCGCGCGCGGCCATTTCAAGCACTTCGTCCACCTTCTTGCGGGGTTCGGGCTTCACGAACGTCTTGTGCTTGACTGATTGAGAGCAGTATTTGCAATCTTCCGTGCATCCACCTGTCTTGATCGACAACAACGTGCATTGTTGGACTTCGCGGGGGTCGAAGTGGATGCGATGCACAGTCGCCGCTTGATACACGAGTTCCAACAAAGGTTGTTCGTAAATTCGCTTCACTTCTTCTCGTGACCAATCCTGTGAAGAAACGATGGTGAGCGTCCACGTAGCCTGCATCCACGTCGATATAGAGGAGGTGCATGTCGTACAGTTCGGAGTTCGGACGATACACCGTTCAACGACAGCGATGCAGAGGACGCGCATCGTGCGGCTTGTGGTCGAAGGAGGGCGCGGGAGACTTGACGGGCGAGCATGTCTGCGGGTGCCGGTGGAAGTTGTGGAATGGCACTTGTGGGCGGCGGAGGGATTTGGCACAAATATGGATGTAGGCAACTGACAGTTGATTATATAAGCAAAATAGATGTTGCGTTTTGTATTGCCTGTTTTATCAATACAAAAAAGAATATATTGAGTATGCCGTCTGTTTGCTATTTCCGTGTGTATTTTATGTGCCATTGGTCGGATCCCTGCGCTGCGATTGGCCAGTGTCGATTGAACAATCTGCTGACGCAGGGCGGTATTTACCTCTACTTGTTTTTTTAATTTTGCTTGGAAATGTATGGGGCTTTGGCACGGAGCGTGATCTTGACTTTAAAATTACTTGGTTTGTGAGGCGCTGGTTGAATGGATTGGCCGCCCTGTGTTGAATGTGCCATCGGCCCGTCGAATTTATACTGCCAAAGCGTCAGATATGTAGTATGTATGGGGGTCGCAATATATGGATCAAATTTCGGCCTAACGTTATGGCTTTACTTTGCACCTCTGGCGAGAAAGCGGCTACAGTACGCCTCCCTCACATTTCCCCCGCATGACAGTCAAAATCAAGGCGAGCTGCCACTGGCAATTGCATCTGCGATGTTGACAAGATCGGCATTGCTGTATGTGGAATGCACGCCTTCCATTTCAATGGGATGTGTACCGGTGGCCTTAGGACCATGAGTCGTGGATAGCATGCAGAGGGGAGCTCGCTTAGGCTACAAGTCTCCATTGCTGTGGTGTTGCATGGTTGTGTTGTTGGTTGTGGTGACCTCACGGTGACGTCACACTTGTTTTGGTGATTACCCTACGGTGAATGGACCGATGTTGTTGAGCAATCATTATCCGGTATTCCGGATACAGAGCACACGCTGTTCACATCACGATGACCAGCAACGGGATGGCCGCCGACAGCGTGGGAATCGAATGGTTCTGCAGCCAACATACAGATGGCTTCAGCGGCGTGATTAAGTCTACGTATGATCGACAAGCGTTTTATTGTATGAGATATTGAACATCCTGATGTAGACCAGAAGACTTTCAAGTCCGAGAAGTGAGCATGGACGGGGAGATCGTCGACCTTCCATCGGACCGCCGACAAGAGGGCCACATAGCGCCTTCCCCGCCATTGTCCCAACCAAAACCAACGATTTATGTGGCCGTTCACGAGCCGAGCGAAGGATGGGAGGCCTTCTTGGCCTCGAAGCTGAGTCCCGACGTTATTCAAACCATCGCCAATATCATGTTGGAGACGGTCGAGGAAGTCGACGTGCCGGCGCCAGCAGACCTAAGTGACAAAGTCCACTTGCTTCACGCGATTCAGGTTATCTCGTACGCCTTTCTCCATCACGCTCTAACGAAAGGTAAGTAGCATCGCTTCCCTGGGGTCCAGAGCAACAACGCCAAGGACGCGGCGACTGGTCAAGTCTCAATCAAACTGTCGCTCGACCCTGTGTACCGTAAACTTCGGCGTGGCGGCGTGGACGTCGACGACTGCAGCGTCATCCTCTCGTTTCTCCTTCGCGGTCCCATGGACGCAAAGGCCGAGGCCGGCACGTCTCCGTCCCATCTCTTTCGCTCATCTAACCACAGCTCGTAGGCGCGGCGCTTGGCGGCGGCAAGTCCAAAGATCAGCGCACCCTCGTACATCGCGCCGTGTCGTCCGCCAGCAACTGTTTGGTGTCGAAAACCTCCGACACTGGCGGGGTCCACGTGTACTTTTCGCCCAAAACGCTGCTGCGACGAAAGCGCAAACTCGACACGTATCTTTTGTTTACGTTGAAAAAGGCAATCCCTCTGTCACATATATCACTTTGGCTGGATATAACTGAGTGTATGTAGACCAACATGGACCATTTCACGGCGCTAGACGTGCTGGCGCGGGCGTGTCACGCGTCCGTGTCTGACTTCTCCATCGCTGGCACCAAGGACAAGCGAGCCGTGACGTACCAGCATGTCGTGCCCAAGAACGTGTCGCATGAGGTATTGACAAGCGTCCAAGACAAGCTCGAGGTACAGGGCCTCCAAGTCGGCGCCTTGCGCTACGTCGAACGACCTCTGGTACATAATCATCAACCGACTGTGCGTACCACGTTGACATCTGCCGCTGACGTAGGCGTTGGGGCAATCTCGAGGCAATCGGTTCGTTTATCGTGTTGTCATATCCACCACTGACTATTGTTGGTTGCGGGATTGAAATAGGTTTACGATTCGCATTCGACAAGCTCACGTGTCTCGGCAGGAGGTGGACAAGGCGATAGCGAGCGTACGTTCACACGGATGCATCAACTACTTTGGACATCAACGGGTTGGCGACCCCGCCGCCGTGCCCATCCGGAGCCACCACATTGGCCGCGCCATGCTGCAGCAAGACTGGCCCGAGGCCCTTCGCCTGCTCTTTTCGCAAACCCAAGCGCAGGATTTGAATGTAACATGTGCATCGACACTACTACACTTCACTAACTTCGTCTCGTCTAGTTGGCGGCCAAGCAAGCTTTTCTCGACACTCGCAACATTGCCCAGGCGCTCAAGGACTTGCCCCCCAAGTGTGTGAACGAGCGCACAGTGTTGATGGTAATTCACTCTGCCATATCTAGCGATGCCGTGCTTCTTCATAACCAATGATTCGGTGTACAGGGACTCAGGCGCCACGGACACTCCGACGTCAAGAAAGCGATGCTGCAGATCCCATATCACCGCCGAGTCTTGTACTTGCATGCGTACCAGAGTGTCTTGTTCAACCTCATGGCGACCTATCGCGTCCAAACCCATGGGGCGGCGGTGATGCGCGGGGACCTTGTGCTGGACTCCACCACCGGCGCCGTCCGAGTGGTCGGCGACCATCCGGACGTGGAGGCGTTGACAGACGTCGTGCTGCCATTGGTCGGCACCAAAGTGCAATTTCCCGCCAACGACGTTGGGGCAAAGTACATGGAGGTTGGTTGGGCGATGCCCCATGGATATATCATTTTCGAATTGAGTGGTTTTTTGTATATTCATAAACTGTTACTTGTCAATCCGGTAGTTGCTGCGGGACGAACGGGTGGACCCGGCGACGTGGAGCCAAGACGCGACGGTGAAGGGCGCGTACAGACATCTCATTTGCCGGCCGTCGGATCTGGCCTGGGATATGGGTACAACTCGGAAAATTGTGGCTTTGTGACGATGTTATGCCTAGACGAGGCCACCGCGAATGTCGTGGCTGTGTCCATGCAACTGCCCCCGGGCTCCTTTGCCACGATCGTTCTTCGAGAAATCATGAAGCAGCACCCCCACGAGACGCCCAACACCGCTCCTCCAAATGTCGATATGACGGATGTGCTGCTTGATTTGGAAGTAGTAGACCCATAGGATAACCCTACCTAATCCAAGGCCATGCTAAATTTAGACGACTCAAACTCAGTACATTTTACGATTTGTGTGACGTTGCATATATATATATATATAGTCATGAAGCGGGCGCTGGTGCGACACCAGGACGAGTCCACGTACGAGCGGCGGCCGCATCTAGTCGTGTCCCTAGAGAACCAGTGCGTCGAGTACACCCCTCGCACCTTGGCCAAGACGAGGAACGAGCTCGTGGCGCTACGTCAGCGCGTGGTGGCGTTAGAGTTGCTTCTGGCGGCCCATCCCCCAGATCTAGACGACCGAGTTCTGTTGAAACAACCCGCAAAGTTGCTGCCTCCGCTAGCCGAACCCACGACCACCGTAAGCATGCCGCCATCGCTCGTTGTAATCGCCTCACTGGCATTGGCTAGCACCTCGCTCAATCGTCTTCGTTGACTCAGTTGCCACCTCCAGTTCAAGCCCAACCCGCGTTTACACTCAGTCGACAAGCGTCCGCCCCGGCGTTGCTCCCCCTGCAACCCCTCATTCCCGTGTCCGTCCGTCCTGTCGACAAGGCATCGGAGTTGGCTGCAAAGTCTGTAGAAACGCTAAGGGAAGTTCGCATGTCGACCAAATTCATAGCCGACCAAGACGGGTCGCTGGTCGTGGCCGTGTCGAAACGAAGTCGTTTGTACGAGATCATCCAACGCGTGACCAACCGCGTCCAAATCAACGACGAGCAGGTCGGTACACATCCATATGCAACAGGCAAATTGACGATAACAACAACGGTGGTGACGTGGCAGATCCTCCGGCTGAAAAAGATGGTGGACGCAGAGGTATGTATGTGCCTAGTTCGTGGCACCACCGGTCCACTCTTCACTGTTCAAGCTAGTTTGGCGATGTCATTGCAGTGTTGGAAGCCGTGGATGCCGAAGTAAACGCCCACGTGGTGACGGAGAAGCTCCACCACTTGATCCAAACGGGGTCGCCCTCCAAGGTAAGCCCCCCCCAGACAAACCCCCAAGACAGAACCCCCCCCCGCCGTTATTTGATTTTGCGTGGTTAGTTTTATGCGCAAGGCTCGCCGCCCAAGTTTAAACCGTCCGACGTGCCGTACCCGCTGACCAAGATCGCGCACTGTTTGTCGTCGTTGCCGGTGAGCCAAGAAGTAGTCGTGCTCGTGTCCAGCGGCGCATACAACCCCGTGCACATGCTGCACATCCGGGCGTTTTACGTCGCCCGCCAGGTCTGTCCAAGCCCCTTTTATAAGCGTTTTCTCACAAAGTAAGGCCTGGTTGTGTATAGCATATCGAAGCCAACTACAAATACCCCGTCGTGGGAGGCATCATCTCGCCATGCCACGACACTTATGGTATACTGCATCCACTTGAACCCTTGGTTGATGGATGGATCGAGTAGCGACTGACTTGCGATAGTGCGAACCAAAAACCGCCGGACACCACGGGAAATGATTCCGAAAGCGCACCGACTGGCCATGTTGGAGGCAGCGACGGCGTCGTCGACGTGGATTGAAGTGGACAAGTGGGAGGTACATATGTCATTATTCGTAGACTTGTGTTCATTTTGGCAACTAGATCACCCGCCGCCGCGTGCTCGACTACCTCAGCACCCTCACCCACGTCCGCGAGGTACATAGGTCTTGGACACTCGACCTTGTATTTATTAAAAAAATATTTTTCTAAAAATTATTGAATATTTTATCACCATTTTTTCAAGTGTAGATTTGCGAGCACCAGTTCCCGCACTTCAAATTTCGCGTCGTGTATGTGTGTGGGGTCAACACGATCGTCAAGCTAAGCCACACGGCGTTGAAAGACGAAGGGTTTGGGGTCTTGGCTATTTGTCGCCCCAACCAAACGGACATGCTGCACAAACACCTCGGCGCCAAGTAGTGTACTTCTACATTCATATCCAATATCTATCTGAGTACTTCCATAGTTACACTTACATCTTTCTTTCCTTTTGTTGGCTAGATGGACCAAAACGGCGATTGTGGTCGAAGACGTAGGGGTACTCGCATGCGAATTGGAGCGCGCGACGAGCTTTCGCGTGCGCCAGGCCCTGATCCAGCGCCAAGGCAGCGACATCGCGCCCATGGTCGGCAAGTGCGTCGACGAGTACATGGCCCGGCACCGTATTGGCGACAAGATCGCCGGCCGCGAGCCGTGGACGTCGGGGGACCGGTTGTGGAGGACGCAGGACCTCCCCCACGTCGAATACATCGAGTCCGAAGCGATCCAAAGCAGGCATGCAGACAGCTTGGTAGATCGCATCGATTGATCCAGAGAGATGGTGGAACGTGGGGAGGCACTTAGACATTTCAACCAAGCCGCCACCAAATGATAGTATTTCGTTTGATTAATTATTTATATTTATAGGTATAATTAACACTAACGTTATACTTGAAAAATAAATACAACAAATGCATAATAAATAAATAACATGATTTTTGAATAGATTTTGTTTTTTATTTCTATTTATTTTAATTCGTGGCGTGGCCTTGGGTGAGTGAGTGTACGACCTTCGCGTACTACTTACTGTACAGTACAATCACGGCATCGAGGTCGTACACCAAATCTGCCGTCCAAGTGGTGGTTGTTCGATCTATAAAGCCTTGGCTGTTGTGGTGGTTGATTTAAGATTGAAAAGGACTGGTGGAACTTCCCGCGCGTGTGCAGTTGAGTTGTCGAACTGAAAGCGAAGTCAGAGTACAGCGATGCCATGTACTGTCGGCATTCGACGAGCGGCCGACTGTTTGGAGAGTACGCTGCGTGGAATGAAAACCAGCGCACGATGTTGACCTTTCGCCACTTGAACAACCGGACAACACTGTCGTCTGTTCGTAATACCAACCCATGATTTTGATTTTTAAATTATAATAGGCGTAAGAGCAACTGTATGCGAGTAGCAGATGGACTTGGACAACATATATAATTCATATAAGTGCAAAACAAATTACTGTGAATTCGGTACAAATTTCCAGACCCTGTTGAATCGAATCTCGCCGCCAAAATGAATCACGAATCGACGCTATTGGCTAATCCAATATTGAGTGGATTTGATTGGCTCTTATTGTGTGTATATTCAACCAATCAGGACTCCATAGCGATACAATGTTGATCAGAAAAACCACACGAATTTTGGAAGTTCGAATTCACAATAAGCAACGTTATTAGTACTTCGAGGTATTTTACTATTAGTGTATTGCGCTTTCCGGTTAACAGTAAACATGCCAATTGTGAGCCAGTGTGAAAATCACCAACAAACAGCCGCGATGAAATGATTGGGTAGAATTTCGACGATTTGAGCAGAAAATGGACATGCAACTCGATGCTGCTACAAACGCTGAGGGGATCGTCCATTTTACTCAGCTCGGGAAACTGCGTCATACTAGGGTAATTATAAACGGATGTTTGGCGAGGGATTTCCCACTTTATGTGGTGGGTCATTTCACCGATATTAACGGTATTTGGGTCTGGGCGATATCCCAGAACCGCCCGTGATATTTTGAGTAGAACACACAATACACCCCTGGATCTCACGCCGACACGAAGGATGTCAAGTGGTGGAGTAAGGTGATCGTCGTATTGTTGTGTGCGATGTGCCGAATGTATCGACACAATCAAAGTACTAGAATACAGAAGAATTTAGCCAATCAGATTCCTGGATATCATCGGTTCAACTAATAAACAGCCAATTACTACGTAGTAGTGTGCAAGTGAAATTTGTGTGACCGGCAGTTTTTACTGCTGGCCAAAATTCAGAACAAAAAACAGATCGATGGATTTGGCAAATCAGCACAAAAGTCCAAATTTTGGCTGACAAAATCAATACTACGGCGAGAGGTCAGAGTTAAGATTGACTGACACCAGGTAGCTTTAGTATACTTGTACATATGTACATGCGTCTTTAAGCTCAATATACAAGGCAAGCTACGGGACTATTGGATAGCGTTAACAGTAAGGTGGTGCGTGTCCTGTTAAGCCAACCTCTGCGGACATGCCTCGGTGACTCAAATGAGACTTGCAGTCGTCGGTCGTAGCAAGAGTGTCGTGATGCGCAAAACAACCACACGACATGCATAGCCACAGGTACTGCACTTGGTGGTCCCGTTTGGACGGGTTCAAGATGGCCATCTCTACGGTGGTGTTCATGTGAACGGAGGGCAGTAACTATTGCGCGAGCTCTTCAACCACATGTGGGTTTGTTCGTAGCGTGGCCCGAGTCTGTATCTGTTATTATTGACAGACACCATGCCTGTTCAAGATACGGCAGTTTCTTGTGGTGACCAGAATGTAGCTGTATGTTCTGTCAAGGCCAGGACAACGCATTGAACAGACAGCACACTCATCGGACTACTTACTGCTGATGTCTTCTAGGACGAGTCCGTGACGCGCCGCGCCATAGACTCCGGCGGTCTTGCTTGTGGATGTGCCACAATCATCGGCGCAACAGTTGGTTCCGATCATTCTGCGGCTTTTGATTGGCCAAGTGCAGAATTTTAGAAGTCCTAAGTTGAAGCAGGAATTGGACCAATGGCCTGCCGCGACAGCGAAGACGCGATAGTTACGAAAACAATCTCAAATTTATTTTTTCCAAAACATTGTCTTACAAATATCAAGTGGACTTGCGGACTTGGAATAAAAAGTACTCCACAAAAACTATTTTTGGCCACGAATAGAAAAAAAACCATTCTGCAAGTCGTTGGGGTTTCTCAATTCTTTCAACAACCAGTTGAGCATTTGGCGAGAACTGAGCAGAACCAACCAACCATGGGCAGCAACTCGTCGCGCAGCCGAAGCAGCAGTGGCGGCAGCAGTAGCAGCAGCAACAACAACGGCCATACGAGACGTCCTGTGCCCAAGAAGGCGCCGTTTTCCAAGAGCAAGGGAAGCCCAACATACGATGGCGAGCGCTTCACGCGACCTACGGGGTAACCAACGGCCACATCTCATACTTGATTCCTTCTAAGCTAAGCGTGCGATACGTGTGTAGATTGTACAAGTCATGCAGTTGGGAACATAAAACGGTGCGGAAGTTGGTGGCGGAGCGCAAGATTGCCCCTCGATACCCGGGCAGCGAAACTGCTAGTGCCGACTCTTATGAATGCCCCATTTGCTTCTTGGTGCGCCCTGTGCATGGAAATCGGACATGTCTAACCATCTCTGTGTGATGTGATTGTAGTATTACCCCAGCACGTTGAACCAAAGTAGTTGTTGCAAGGAAGCGATCTGTACGGAATGCTTGCTCCAAACCAAACCGCCCGCCAAATCCGTGTGGTATGTCATCGCCTCTTGATACTATGGTCGTCTAATCTTCTGGGGTGCAGCTGTCCTTTTTGCCATTCGGACAACTTTCGAACCAACTTTACGGTGGGGTCGGCAGGGACGCTGAAGAAGCCCATCATGCGATCGGACTCGGACTGCACGGAACTGAGCAGTCCAGAAGCCTCCATGTTACACGATGATGACATTGAAGTCCATTTCGCTTCTGTGGCCGACCGAATGAAGCTGCAAGAAGAAGTGTCGGCCCAAGTGGGCATCCCACGTCCTGCATCGTTGCCGAACCATCGATCGACCACGTACGAGGCGTTTCTGGCGGGGGACGACATGGACAACTCGACGTCGTGCCTGGAAGAGATGATGCTGCTGGAAGCAATCCGCAGATCGATGGCCGACTGCGGAGTGCAGCCGAAACACTGCGAGCGGCACACGATCGCCCATAGAAGCGACGACTTGACCCCATCGGCAGCACCTTCCGCCGCAAGTTGAACGTGGGGGAGGTCGCATGTTAGACGTGTGATTGTAGTGCGATAATATGTGCATATTTATGATTAACTTTTAACTCTTTCTGGACCAACATGCACTTTTGTCATGTCTTCCCTACTTTTTCCCGTCCCTCCCGTGTCAAAATTTACACTTGACTTTTATATACTACGTAGTAGGTAGTAATTTTTATCCGGACAATCTTGACAATCTCATTGGACAGTGAAGGCTCGCAACAATTTTTTAGCGTCGACAGTACCAATAATAATAGAAACGTGGTCGTGGAGGCCCCTTTGAGTCGTCTGTATACTCAGGTCTTATCAAAATATTTTGGCAGTTTCCCGCCGTTCACTCGTTTGACGAAACTCATGCACAAGGCACCGACAGGACTACCAACGCCACGGCGATTTCTACCAGCCCGGGTTCGAAAGCCCACAGGCTCAGCGAATGACCAGCTGGCGCTTCTGAATGTGATTCAGGCTCAAACGCGCATCCCGAATCTATCGCAACCACTTAGCTCACAGCCACGCCAACCAGCTCAGGGTACGAGGCTTCATGAACTATAAGACCCACATGCTCTTACATATGAGTTACAGCTGACGTTATATCCATTGCGTATTCGTCCTCGTCCACTGTGAGGACTACAAGTGGTGTAGCTGGCGAAGGACCGCCATGCGCTGTGTGCCTAGAAGTTGATATTGGCGTTACCAATGCATGCACGCATTGCCAATTACCTATGCATCACTTTTGCAGCCACGATATCGCACGCACCATTGCAGTGGAATCGACGCCACTAGAAGACTTCGGTGACATGGTATTCTGCTCTGCCGCGTGCTATGTGGCTGGAACTGGGGCGTCACACGTCACCGTCAATGGCTTTGCTTTTGCGTTGCCTGTGTTTCGTGCTCCGCGTGGTGGTCTACCAGTGTTGGGTCCAGCATTGCATCAGTCCTCGGGTGAAGGGCCATCACTGGATTCTCCCATTCCGCCAATGGAAGAAATACGTAAGGCGATGTCGAAGCGTCCTCCGCGTGATGGTCTTCCAGTCTTGGGTACATCATCATCAGTCCTCACGAGAAAGATTCTCACATGTTTTCACTACTGCACTAGTGCAAGGGAAACGCAAGGCGGTTGCGACGCTGCAAGACTCGCGTCAGCGCCCTCCTTCATCCTTCTTTTCTCCAACAAGTTCAAGCACTTCATCAAGTACACACTCAAGTGCGGTGTTGTTGGAAGACAACTACAATGACGACTCGTCCAGCGATGACGAAAGCCTTCCTCGTTCCGCTCGCGATTGGACAGCTGCAATGTCGCTGGCGCGAAAGCTGATTGCGCCGAAGGCTGTTCGAACGTCGCATGCACTCAGTGCGTTCCCTGTGGCATACTTGCGGCCAACCCCGCCTCGCATTGAGGAAGCTATTGAGGCCGATGACGTCGTCCTCACGTCGGACTTGGAAGTGGAGTACGATGACGACGATTCAGGTATACTCGTGGCTTGGTTATGCTTGGGAATGACCTTTTCATGGGTAGATACGGGTGTGTTGAACACGGTGGATGAGGTGCTGGCATTTCAGGAGGACGAGGAGGATTTGCAGGACGAGTCCTCACCAACCAATAGTCATCGGGGCGTCCCCCCCGAGCCCGTCCCCAACACTGCTATGTTGCCCGACGAGCTCCGCGAATTGTCGCGGTCGGGGTGGAACGTCCTCACTGGCATGGTTCCTCCAGATACTCCTGTTGACCAATCCGAATGGTTTCGTGGCTACTGTGGTCCTAGCCATCAAGCCGCTTTGCTCTGGGACCAACCCATGGACCTGTTCCACTTTTTCCTTCCGAAGTCTATGTGGCAACACATCGCCACTGAAACCAATAACTACCGGCGCGATAACATCCAAACAATCGTTACCGAGATGCATCGGACTCAGCGCCGCCTAGCGAAGTCGAAGCAATCACACAAGGCCAAGCCTGTCGCAGTGTTGATGGCGAAAGTCCTCAATGTGAAACCCATTGCACCTGCCGAGATTCACGTGTGGTTTGGACTTCTCATTGGCCATATGCTTTGCAAACGCAAACACATCAAAGACCAATGGAGCCGTAGTGAAATCGGAGCCATCCCTGCAGGGACGTTTGGGCGGTACATGTCAAGGACAAGGTACCGATATCTACATCGTGTTTAGAACTAGAGACTTTATTACGGTACCATTTTTTAGATTTGAACAAATTTCGAAGTACCTGCATTTCTCCGACAACAAAGACCCCAGAGCAAAGACTGACAAAGCGTGGAAGGTGCGACCAATTGTGGAGACTCTTGAACGCACCTTCAAAGAAGGGTACTTCATGGGGCAAACCTTGGCCTTCGACGAAGGCATCATTCCATCCCGAAGCCGCCTGAACAAGCTGAAGCAGTATGTCAAGGACAAGCCTCACAAGTGGGGCACGAAGTTGTTCATGCTGAACTGCAGTCGCACTGGCTACTGCGGACGGTAATTGAATGGTCTGAATGAGGTATAGCTCAAAACAAATTGTAGAATAGAGATATACTGCGGCAAGCAAACCTCGAGCGAGGAGCAGTGCGCCTTGGATGCAAAGACGGGTCCATCGGCTGTTGTGCGGAACATCAAGCGGTACTTCGACCAAACGCTCGATGAAGGGCGGCGCACGATTGTAACCGACCGGTTTTACACCTCAGTTGCATTGTCACAGCAACTGAGGGGTATGAACTTCAATTCCGTCGGTACTATCATGACAAACCGCCTTGGTTGGTGTAAAGACATCAACTGGACCTTTGCTCGACGTCCAAAGAGCATCAACCGAGGCGCATTCAAGATGGCGATCGCCAAGTGTAACCCAGAAATGGCCGCCATAAGTTGGGTCGACAATCGACCTGTGTCATTCTTGTCGAATGGGCTGCCAACCGATCCAACCACCTGTCGCCGCCGTGAAAAGGCTACGGCCACAACACCGTACGAGTCAAAGACGGTACCGACACTGCAATGCATCAAGTACGTCCTCACAATGCAGTCCTAGTCCTCAGTTGTATATTGATGATCATTTGCGTAGAACGTACCTCGATGGTATGAACGGCTGTGACAGACACGATCAACTACGGCTACACAGCTACTCCGTTCAGCTAAGTCGAAAGTTTGTAAAGTACTACAAGTCCCTCTTTCTTGGACTAGTTGACATGGCCATTGTCAACGCGTACATTGTTCACAAAGACACTGCAGCTCGGCTCAACATGCCGATTATGACCCATCGCGAATTCATGCTGGCGCTTCATGAACTTCTCCTGCAAGCCACCGCGGCCGACTTCACTCAAGAAAAAAAGAAATCAACTGGTCCGAATTCAGTGAGGAGTGCAACCCAGTCAACGACCTTCAACGAGAAGCGACACGTCCTTCAAGAAATAACCAAGTGGAAGCCAACCAAGGCTGGTAGATCGCGTGCGCGCCAGCGTTATGGATGTAAAGTATGTCAAATCAGCCGAACTGCTGAGCAAACGCGCGGACGGTCCACCGTCTTCATCTGTGCGCAATGTACTGAGGATGCCAACGGAGGTAATTGTCGTGTTGACGTGTAATATCTCACTTGTGATAGGACAATTGTTCTTATGTCCCCAAGAGCGTACTCAATGGAACGGCCAGCACATGTCGTGCTTTGAGGTGTGGCACAGCCAGTGGCAATGTGGCCTCCGCCTCCCACCGGCATTTCGTTGCCGTTTCATTCGTACATTCAAGCCATCGACGAGATCATTCGAAACCTCGCAGCGAGATGAGGACGAAAGTAAGGATCTCCATGAAGACGGCGGTGAAGACGACGAAGGAAACGATGGCGGAGACGAGGGTGCCAAAACCCAGGGACGCGACAGTTGCGATGATGTCTACCGTCAAAGCGAGATCCTCGCATATGGTGCAGGAATTCAAGGAAGTGACGGAGAAAGTGATGGTACACTCATCCTTGACAATATGAGTGCAACGACTGATATACTCGAACCGGACGACCACCCAAGGGCAATAGTAGTGTAACAAAATCATAGATCTACTCAACAAAGTTGTATTCGTTTTATCCATCATTTTGTAGCTAACTTCAACAACGCTGCCACCAACCAAATCAACTTACACGACGAGACAATCAAGGATGTCATGATATGTTTTGCTTGTTCGGGTCATTATATTTCATCCAATGAGATACTGACAAAGTCGTTGAGTGAGGACTTGCATGTTTAAATGAGTGAGGACTACATAAATTATACTTGGTTATACTATTGAAATTACATCCGGAACAGTCGAGTGAAGACGAGTCCTCACATTGGTCCACAAAGAGTTAATTGCCAAGTCGACCCATTATCCGGATAACGTTGTTTTTCATTGGGATGGCATCCGATATCCCAAAGTACCGGCAGCGACATGCCCGGACCGACGTGTCGGAAGGGGATGCCAAGGCGTACACAGTGAATGAAGAGTCCAGATTCATTCTCGTCCGCAACATCCCGGCGCTGGGCGCGACCGACGAGTTGCTGCGACGACTCGCTGAGTTTGGGACCGTTGAACGTCACCGCCTCGAAGACGATCACGACGACGCCTCCGAGTATGTGGACGTCATGTGGGTTCAATTCGATACTGTGACTGCTGCTCGTCGTGCCAAAGCGCTGGCGGTGAAGAACCCGTTCTACGGCAGCGTTTTGCAGATCTCTTACCTTCCCCAGGACGAACGATCAAGTGACACCCGGGCCAAACTCGACGAGCGACGGGAGCTGCTCCAGACACGGTTCCATGCGCATCAACGTCGTCATGTTCCTCCCGACATCATTGGACCTCTCCTTCCTCAAGCCCCGCCGCGTGCTCCACTTCCGTTGTGTCCCCCACCCGCAGTGTCGGTAGAAGGACTCCCACCGCCGACTGCTCCATCGAGTGATTCGGTTGCGTCTCAACCAACAAGTATGCCGCCCCCACCACCACAGAAACGTCGGCGTATTTAACCAGTGTGACTTTGTATCGTTTTATATTACGACAACACGACGGTGTGCTGGAACTCCTGCCGCATCGATCGAACGAAGCTGGAGAGGTTGCCAGTCGCATTGAGTTGGTCCACGAGCTTGTTCAATGCGGGGATTGCCGGTGCGCACGAGTCCACTGTCCCGTGTAGAGAGATGCCAAGGTCATGTGAGGAAGGTATCCATCATGATGACAGCAAAAGGAGGCTTACCGACGAACAAGTCGCTGTCGGATCGAATGCGCAACGAGAATGTGAATTCGCGACTGGGCACGTCGCGGTCTATTTGCGTGAACACGAACGATAGGTTCTTGTCTAATGCGTATGTGAACGATGGCATGGATGGACGTGGATCGTGAGGTACCTACCTCCTGTCGCATTGATCACGAGACCAAGCTTCCGATACATATCGATGCACTTGGTAAGCTCAGCGACGCTAAGAGCATGTGCTTGGGACGCTTGGGACACGTCTACAAGCATTCAATGCATCATGTGAGTGAAAAAGACAAATGTCGAGATCAACATTGGGAATGTGCAGGGTACCATGTGTAAAATTGGAGAGTTTGCTGTCGTGGAGAGCCTTTTGAGCTCGCAAGCCCAGGACCACAGGTTCCGACGTCGACATTTCTGCTTGCAGGAGTCGCACTTCGCTTTGGCTACCCTGGATCGTCCGAAGCTTCTCGCTCCTCGTTTCCTCGCGGGTGCTGGCAGCAGTGGCCAATTGCTCTTTCTTCGCCATGAGGTTCTGCAGTTGCTGACGATCTTTCTCCATCTCCTCCGAGAATATCTGCTTTGTTTCCTCGAGGGTAGCTTTCTCGTTTTCCACCCATGTCGATAGCGCCCTAGCTGTCGCCTCCAGGTGCGTCTCGAGCGAGTCGGCCATCGTCCAAATTCAAACTTTCCGCGAGGTGTCAAATACGTTGCGCGGATTGGACAATAAAATCCTAATTTCAACGAATCAATGACGTAATCTTATGGGCAAAGAAATCGTGCAAATTATGGACACGATTGGCCAATCCATGGACTTTATGTCCAATCAATGCCCATCATTTGCTCATTCGCAAGTGAGGTGATCCCGACGCGACCATGCCAAGCCTGCTCCAGCTCGCCACGCACGCAGAGGTAGCATGCTCCCCAAAGGTGCATGATGTGAGCATGCCAACGTAGAATGAGTTCCGCAGCTTGATTCGGTCCAAGGACCCGTTAGCACGGTTGAAAGTTCTGCATGCCGACCTTCAAGCCAAGTGCGACAAGGAACAACTGCTCACGTTGATGGAAGTGGCGACGCAAAAGCTGGTCGAGAAGCTGTCGTGGGAACTCCACCACAACAAAGGCATGACGCCAGCCAGCGTCGGCATTCCCGAACTTCTGGACGTGTGCATTGCTGGCGCCACGGACAACCTCCTGACGAACCATGCGCCGTACAAGATCCTCGAAGACCTCATGGACGGCCAAACGATTGTCACGTGCGAAAAGCTGTGGGAACTGCTCGAAACCCGCAAGGGCCGCCTGACCACGGTACGCAAGACGACGACGTCCATCCCTTTCATGTCACTAGGCCAACTTCATCCCGCCATACGACGGCAAGATGCCAAAGACAACCAAGGCGTCATTGTGCCTCTTACGTCTGTCCAACACCCTTCTCCGCCGTCTCTCCAAGACGCACAACACGGTGTTCTGCGGCCGCATTCTTGCGTTCTTGTCGTTTGCATTTGCGCTGTCCGAGCGCTCCGCCGTCAACCTCACCGGCCGCGTAAGCCAAGTCCCTTGTGTGCAATCGGGGTCATGCTGTCGTCTCGTATAGGCCAACGTGAACAACGTGACTGTTTTCGATGACGAAGCGACATTTGTGGACAACGTACGACTTTGAATGATATCAGTCGAACGTACAGTATATCTGATTCCATACGGAGGTAGACGCGAACGGACGACGGCGGCATCAGCAACCCCCACGACACGGCGACCGAGTACCGAGTGTACCAGTCGTTTTGGGCCATTCAACGGTACTTTCGGCAGCCGAGTGTGGCCATCGACAGCGCCACCGACTGGAGTTCCTTTGTACGTCTTATGATGTATATGGTTTCATATGCAAACCAAGGTCGAGGGAATAATGCTATATTTATATATATGGCCTAGACAACCGAGCTCACGGCAGTGTTGGACGCGTTCGACAGCCATTCGTTCAACCCCAAAGACCTGGACCACGATGTGGTCATGTTCGACGATGACAACTCGCCCGACTTGGCATTTTTCCAGACAAAGTACTTGACCAACAGTCGACTGTTCCGCTTGCAATTGCGGGATCCTGTCTTGCGAGAATGCATGTTGACCCAGGTATTGTGCATTTCACCCAAGCAATTTGGACTAACTTTAGTTTACAAACATTAGTATATATATGGTTTTGCCCAATATGGCGAGTCAAACGTTTGGATTGGCAGAAATTCACCTGAACGTGTTTTTTGATTGGCTTGGGCGGTTGTTGAATCCATTCTCCAAAGACATTCGATTCACACAACGATTTTTGACAATATAAAATAGGTTGATATTTTTTAACATATCAATACTCGTACGGATTGTGTAGTTTTGGATTTTGCTTCGGTACTTTGAGACGGCCAAGCTACCCCCATCGGCGACAGAGGTATGTACGATCATCGATCGATCAATGGACGACGTACGACGGAATATGGATGGATGGCTGGGGTAGACTCAAGTGTCGGATCTGTCGGCGCGGGTGTTGAGTTTGCTCAAGAAGACGCCGTCCGAGAGCAAGGGCTTGACGGATATGCTCATGCAAGTGCTCGACCGGGAAACCAATTGGACGCTGTGGAAACAGGACAAGTGCAAACCGTACGAACGGTTCCCGACTGCCCCCGACAGCAGCCCCCCTCTCCAACACGATAACGACGCCACTCGAGCCAACGAGCCGCCTCTGAAGAAGCCTCGAGTGGCCGACCCACTGTTGGACGCACTGGTTCAAGAAGACACGCAGAGTCTCTTGTCCAAGATCCAAGGCCCTACTCGAAGTACTGTGCATATGTACATATGTTTGGACCTACTTACCTCTTGACGACGTGCTTATAATACCATCAATAGAGACGGCGGTGCCCGTGGAAGAGTTTGTGCAGCGGTTCGAAGAAGCCCGGGACCCTGAGAATGGCATCGAGCGCGAGTACTGGCCAGACACGGACAAGGTTGTGTGTCTGCGATGATGTGTGGATATTGATTCATGCGATGTGGTTGTAGATGGTGTGCTGGCGTACGATGCGCGGATGCATGCGCACGAAGATCACGTTTATGGACAAGATGATTCAAGGCACGGGGGCGATGGTGGAAGCCATCTTGCACGTGCAGCATGGCGACGTTGTGGCGCCGTCGACGTCCCCTGCATCCGACGACGTCCCCCCCGCGGGGGATAATCCCCCCGCAGAAACGTCCAAAGTGGGGCTCCAGTCGTGAAGCCGTAGAAGCAAGAATGACTTCTTGATCATCGTGGGAGAGGGAATTTGCTAAGCTAACAGACACTACATAACAAGTGTGACCCATTTCGTTTCCATATATGATGTATTGAAGAACCGCCTAAGCCAATGAAATCACGTTGCGTTGAATTTCGGCCAATCCAAAGTTACAGATTCAGTGAAGTTGATATTGTATGTATAGTTTGAACAAGCTTAAACAGGTTAAATGCTATTGGCTAATGGACTCAAAAGCCGCCCAAATTGGGGTAAAATTCGAAACTGGAGTCTTAATCGAATTTTTTGTATTTTAAATATTATAATACGATGGACAATGGCATATTCAATCACGATTCTCGGGACCGACTCGACACGATGCGAAAGCGCGGGGACTGTACGACCCCCACGCACTGAAATGTCGTGGCGGCGGCCGCCCGCGTCTCGAAGAAGACGACTTCGATGCAGTGGACCATGGCTTTGTGAAGGGCCGCGCCGTGGAAGCCGTAGTGCCACGACAGCGACCGCCCCGATGGACGGATTTCAAACAGGAGCGGTTCGACGCACTTGGTCTGCAGCCACATGGCCTTGGGGTGGTCCTTGGAGCGTACCGCGTGGTAAATGTCTGCTTGGGGTACCCACATCCCCGCTGAAAACTCTTCGACCGGCTCGACAAAGTTGCGAAACCGGCCAAACGCGACGACAACGGCAGTCGACTCGGTCGACAGCGGCGGCATCACGGTGATGGCGGGGTGATGGCGGCGATGGAACTGCACTTTCAAGTTGGTGCCGCAAAAGCTAGTGGTCGAGTGGTGCCCGCGCTTGCAGTGCGGAAAGCATCTAGGGGGGATGGGGTCAATAACAGCAACAGGTCTATGGGGGGGGGCGTACCGGAGATTGCGCACGCCGCCTTTTTTGTTGTTGCGGTAGTACAGCGTTTTAAACTCGAGCGGCATGCCGTCGTCGTCGACGAACGTAGCTACGGCCAACGAGTCTAGGTTGTCATGGTGGTCAACATGGTCGTAGTAGAGGCGCTGCTGGCTAGGTGAAGCCGGCAGGTGCACCTGTGGCTGGGGGAGTTGTTGGTCTGCAGGTGTTGGAACCAGGCACGCAATGGACGGCAACACGGCAAACTCGTCCGACATGGTCCACAGCTCGTCGTCGGCAAACTCCACAGCGGTCGGCGACTGCGTTCGGTTGGCTGGCGGTGCCATCGCCACTTTGTCCATAATGGAGAGGGGGTTGTCGAAGTCTACCCACATGACGTCGTCGTCGGCGCACTCTTCCAAGAGTAGGTCGTCGCACGAGACGGAGGACGTCGCCGCCGCCTCGGGACGGACGGGTGACGACGGGGGAGCGAATGGCGCCAACACGACGCTGAACGCCGACTTTTGCACACACAGCGCCGGACACCCGAGCTTGATTTGAGCGTTGCGACCACAGCACATCCACGAAATCAGACTCTGCACGCGGTCCACGTGCACAACCACCGCACACAGCGCATGGCTGTTGGCGTTGCGGGCTGCCGTCGATTCGTTCAAGTGCACGCGGGTGTACCCGCCGTGGACGGTGTGGACTTCGGTCGTGGCATCGCGCAGCAGGACTTTGAAGGCGTCGAGGTGCTCCCATGCCACCATATGAGTCATCACGAGCTGTACCGAACGATGGCTGTCCCTCTCGGGTAGGATCGCATGATGCGCCAGCAGGTCGCGGGCCAATCTCGACTGTGCGTGTTGTTGAAGTGGTACGATCGTGCCCGTGGCGAAGCAACCCAAGCATACCCACTCATTGGGCGAAATTGGATCCATGCATTGCAAGGTCGACCCCAGCGATGACTGCGCGTAGTCGCGGGAGACGGCAACGTGAAGGTTAACATCCGGGTCCAGATCGAGAAGGATCTGCGACTGCAGGAGGATGTCGTCACACGTGCTCGGGGCACACCCACCATGACCATTTCCTACGCTGCTCATCTTCGAATGATCACATTCGCCCACTCAGGGCCAACGTGGCGAAACGGCCTTATTCGGGGGTCGTCGATTTTGGAAGCTTATTGTAGTCTTGTGGAAGTTGGGGACCGCAAATAGTTTCGTACATCGTACGATTGTGACGTTGTATCGATCGTGCTTTTCACCCAAATTTGGACCATTAGCCAATAACATTTAACCAATTTAAAGATGTTCAAACTATACATACTTCACTGAATCTGTACTTTGGATTGGCGGAAATTCAATGCAACGTGATTTCATTGGCTTAGGCGGTTGTTTAATTCGTTCCGTTTAAGACTCCAGTTTCGATTAATTTGGACATTTGAGTCCATTAGCCAATAGCATTTAACCTATTTAACTTTGTTCAAACAACTAACATACAATATTTAGCATATATCTGGCTTAGCCCAACTTCACTGAATCTGTACTTTGGATTGGCGGAAATTCAACGCAACGTGATTTCATTGGCTTAGGCGGTTGTTTAATTCGTTCCGTTTAAGACTCCAGTTTCGAATCAACTTGACAACAGCGTTACGATTATACGTATACTGTATTACAATGGCTTACTTTATTCAAGTGCATTTGTTCGTCGTACCGTACATTACAGTACATGTGTACGTACACTATTACATAGTGTATAAGATGCCGCCGTTTCGACAAAAAAGTCATCCACCGATACAGCAATGTGCCCGTTTTAAAGCCCGTAAACAAGAAACCACGAATAATTCCCTCTTTACAACAGTTCCACTGTTCTTTTTACCCGAAATGAAATTATCACATCCGGATATACACCTTTTTGCCCGAAGCCCTGTAACGTGGGACTCCGACCTACCCCCAGTGAGTACATACGATGCTAAATCTCCGGGGTTAACTGTATCGCTAGTGGTTAGCTAACCACTTTACACCCCTAGTCAGACGTGAAGTGGTCCGAGCATACAAAGTTCCATATAAACCTCATATTGTAGTATTTTCTGAGAAATACAACAGTAGCACGGTTTCAATGAGGGAATTGTACAGAAACCACAAGTGGATAACATAACGTGTCCCATATTATAAACTTTAAGGCTAATCACCCGTTACTTGCATGTAACGATGAGTCAGTTACGACTGACTGACGTCCGCCTCCACCAACACGTTGCTATAGCTGCCCGAGTTTCTCCGGGCTTTGGTGCCGCTGGTGTTGAGACGACCTTCGGGGATCTGATCGTCCGGTACCAAGTCTCGGGTAGTGCTGCCCAAGCAGCAGCAGCACCTCAGCCACGTTGACGTGAATACGTGGCGCAGCCACGAGTACCCTTCCGAGTTCATCTCCCCTTCGATGTCGCTGGCGGTGCGTTTGCGGACTCCCGCCGACCGTCGCGCCAGCCCTACGCCGGTGAGCGAGACGTCACCGAGAAGCATCCATCGGTCCATCACGGCGTGGTTGGTGACCCATCCGTCGGCCGTCCGCGTCAGCGGGACCGGCACCGCGCCGCCGCGGGACGCCATGAGTTTGGCGACTTCTTGCCGACAGACTATGTATAGCCCCGCGCTGGCAACGATCCACGCGGTGAAGAGCAGCAGTGACGGCACGTCCATTTCAGTTGCCGTCGCTCTGTCGGCACCTTGTTGTAGCTCCATGTGCTGCACCAGCATGATTTGGCCAGTGGTCGCGGCGACGAGGGCGATGGAGTACAGCGCCGTGGCGCGCACTTGGGTGGAATTGAGGCGGTAGAGGCCGGCGGCTTGCATGTATAGCACGACAGCGAGCGAGCCAAAGAGGACCAGTTGGAGGACAAACAGCGGGGCAAAGACTGCGACCCAGGGCAGCCCCGCCGAGTTGGCCGACGTCGGCTTCGCGGCGATGTCCGAGTTGTGGGCGAGAAGGAGTGTAAATGTAAACAGCAGGATCCAAGACACGCCCTAGGAAGTGGTTAGGAAGAAGAGCGAGAGGGGTGTGGTCGAGTGATGTACGGGGAGGGTGGTCCTGGACTTGCAGAGGAGATAACGCACGACGTAGCCGACTTCAATGATCATGAGCGGAGCGTAAGCGACGTAGACGCTGATATCGGACGAGTCGCTGAGAATGGCGCAGAAGGCGACTTCGGCCCAGAAGAGGAGGAAGCAGAGCGGCATGCTCACGGCGTACAGCAGCAGGATCTTGCGCAACAGTGGGAGCAGCGGCTCGTTGGACATCATGTCCGTCTCGGCCCATTGACGCAACTCTGTGGCAGCGCGGATGGACAGGACATGCGCACCAAGCATGACGAGGTTGGCAACCCAGAACGGCAAGAAGACCACCCACCAGTTCCAGTGGCGTGCCGGGCCAAGCACGTTGTCGGCGTTCAGAGCTATGAGACCGAAGCCAACGAAGACGCACATCACGTAGATCATGACGCCATTTAGCAGGACAGCGAGGGACTGCTCTGCGTACACAATCGGCCGAAACGGGCGCATGCTTCGCAAGTCATTGGTCTCGGTCTCGCGGGGGGACGAGAAGGATGCATTGGCAGGATGGATGGATTGATACATCGTTTCCTCGTGATAAGAGTTTCGCATTGCCCGAAGGAGCGGGGACCGCTCGCCGCTGTCGTCGCTGGACCTGTCCATGCTTATGCTGTTGGTGCGATGGTCGCCCCGCATGGTGATTGTGCAAATCTGGAAGGTCGAAGTATTTAAAAGCAATTCCTGAAAATATCCTACCAGTTGTATATATTTAGCACTATTTTGCTTTTTAAATTATGGTCTGCCGTGATTTCAAAAATCCAGCTTGGCAATGTTGAAGGAGGTGGTCCTGGTATTGGCCACGGCCGCAACAACCTGCGTGGCCTACGTCATTCTACGGGAGATACTTGTCCCTGGCACCTATGAGCCAAAGAAAAGCAAGCAGGAGCGGCGACAGGAGCGCAATGAACGCCGACGGACTCGCATCGACGAACGCAGGAAGCAAAAACAGATGCAAGCCAAGGCGGAGCGGCAACATCGATGGGAGATCGAGGCTGCATTGCATCCGATCGACCAAGAGGAGAAACAACGGCTGTACGACGCCAAGATGGTCGTAAAGAAGCAGCAGCAAGCGCAGCTCGAGGTGTCGGAGATCATTGCGATCTCATGCGATGACTGACGACCTTCTAGGAGCGATTGAACATGGCAATGGCTATTGGACTCCGCGTTGTCGTGGACCTCGACTTTCTCAACGTCCAAACCATTCGGGTACAACTTCCATCGACGTCTCCATCCCACGCAGGCCATCGTTGCATTAGGAGCGGAACAGTGTCTTCAAGCAAATCGCGACCATCTACGGAACGATGAAGAAGAGCTCGTTCTCGAACCTGCTGTCGTTGCATCTTGCCTCATACGGCGGCGACGTCGCGACGTTCTGTGACCAAAAAGGAGCTCAATCGTGGAAGGTATGTAACCTCAACTTCCTTCCAAAGGCTGAGAGAAGCAACCCTCCATTGAGGTAGGTCACCCGCCACGACCAGCCAGTGCACGACCTCTTCCAGAACGACAATGTCGTCTTCTTGTCCCCAGATGCCCCCACCGCGCTCACTGCCGTCGACCCCGACACCGTGTACGTCGTCGGGGGTATCGTCGACCGCACTGTGCGCAAGGTTCGTCCTCTTGTTGAGCCATTAGAGTGTCACGATTTCAAGTAGAGTCAATCGCTGGCCAAAGCGCATGGGTCGGCCATCCGCACCGCTCGACTGCCTGTCCAAGAGCACCTTCGGGTCAAGTCGCATGTCCTCAACATCGACACGGTGGTTCTCGCGCTTCTGGAAGTCCACAACCACGGCGATTGGAAGCGCGCGTTCGAGTCGGTCTTGCCCAAACGGCTGCTGCGTCCGGACGAGTCCCAATAATAAAATGCAACTAACTCCATTCGCAACCATGTTATATTCGTCCGTGCTGTTCAATGGCAGGTTGCGGCCGATGCTGTGCCGCAGCCGGTGATTGCCACCGAGGTTGCCCAAGCAGCGGTGCGCACAATTTCTACAGTATAGTCCGCATTATGGTCATACATGCTGGTCGGGAAAAATGCAAAACAGTGGGTCAAACACGACTTTGACAAGGATATAGTAATGTCGCCAGATCGACGACGATGGTGTGGGGTCAGGTCTTGTTGTCATTATAGGGCTGCTTTCTGGAATGGGATTACGCTTCTTCCCTTCGAGTTCCCAACGAAGAAGACGGTGGCTTGGAGGAGTAGCGAGCCCTGCGACTGTCGCTCATGCCACGCCCTGGCCATCGCTTGAGACCACTTGGGCCGGCGGTCATTCCACTTTCGTTTCTTCTTGAGCTGCTTGTACAGTGCCCAATGGCCATGCGCCTTGGCTTCCTCGATTCCAATGTACAAAAGTCTTCTGTTTGGCCACTCCACGGGGCACTCGCACAAATGTACACACTTGTGAACGTTGTGGTTTATAATGCATCGCACCACGTCTTCGTGTCCAGCTGCCGCCGCCGCAGCCGTGGCCTCCTTCAGGCATCCTTCGGTTCGAAACATGAGGAGAAAGTCAACAATCTTCAGATATCCACGTGCGGCCGCGAGAGTCAACGCGCGGACAGTGCATCCCTCCGTACGCTGCCAATGCAGGAACTGCAGCATAACGAAGTCTCCGCGCTCGGCGGCGGCGTCCATCGCCGAGGCATGACACCCTTCCCTGCGATTCTCATGCAAAAATCGAACGATATCCATGTGGCCACCCGCCACAGCGGCGTCCATCGCTCGCTTCGTGCATCCTTCGGATCGATGGGCGTGCAAGAACTTCACCACTTCCAAATATCCGTTCTCGGCCGCACCGTCCATCGCGGACGTCGTGCACCCTTCGTGGCGGTGGTGGTGAAGAAATGTTACAATGTCCAAATGTCCATGCTTCGCCGCGTTATCCATGGCCAGTTTGGGGCATCCGAGTGCCGGACGATGATGATGAATAAACGACACGAGGTGCCCGTGGCCGTGCGCGGCTGCGAGGGTTAACACGTACGATGTGAAGCCATCGGGCGTGTTAACATCGTGGAACGCTCGCAGGACGTCCAAGTGGCCATGCAGAGTGGCTTGCAAGACAGCCGGACCATGGCCGATCAGGTGGTGAGTCTCCAGCAGGTAGCGCACGGCGGCGACGTTGCCGATCGAGCTGGCATATTCAAGGAACGTGCCGCCCGCAGCGATGTCTGGAGAGGCATTGTAGAGTTGACGAAGCCCGGTTACTCCGTGGGTTTGAAACCATTCGTGGCGAGTGAAGGCGGCAGCAGTGCGAGCTGTTGGTGCGGGGCAGTTGGCAGACTGCAGGACGCGGGCAGCAGCCACAATCCGCAGCAACTTGTGCGGAATGCCACATTGGTAGGCTAACATACAAGGCAGGAGGTCGCTGCTCAAGAGAATCGAGAAAGGTGTTGGCACGCCTGTTGTCAGCATATTGCTGTGGATTATGCTTGTGCAAGAGAGTCGTGGCAAGTGGCAAGTGCCAAGGCCCATCTGACGTGAAAATCTGCCACAAGCAAATGAGACATGACAGAAACTTCAACTTGGGTGCACTTACAGTTAACAGTAAGGGCCTGTCTGGCAACCAACATGCACGGAATCGGATAATCATAAGAAATACTTCCAAGTAGTAGAGGTTATCCGAACAGGAGGGGTTCCATTCGGTGTTTTCGTGTGCTATGAGCAGGTGGACAAGTGAGGATGGCTTGGCGCTGTTGATACAGGCCAACCACGAGCGACCGTTCCTCCAAGATCGAGTTATGAAGTCTTGGGGGTGCTCGCGTGCAACTTGCTTAATTAAAGTTCCTGGCTTATCTTGTCAGGCCAGGTACTCAAAGTTGACGGCAAGAAAACATCGCACAGGTTCCACCTGATACTCGACAACCACGAAAAGTTCCAGAAGGATTCTGTGTATTTGTATGGTATCGACCCAATGTATGAGTACTGTACGAGCAGAAGTCTGCGACGACGGGCAGGCCTCGCGAAGCGACAACGATAGTGAACAAGTACTTTAAAGGAAAGGTGAAATAGAGGTTTCGTGTTTGAAATAATTTTGAAACTCTATGCTAATATTGTGCTTTCGAGTGAAATTTCAAATCGATTTGATTGGCTACTTCAGATGTGCTCAAAATTATTAGCCAATCAAAACCTTCTCAATGAAATTCAACCAATCAGATCGATTGTGGATCGGTTTGGTCGGCGCGATTCGATTGCACCCCCCTCTGCAAATTTGTATCAAATCGACAATAAGGAGATTTCCACCTAGCTTCTCATTTGTTGTAAAGAGAGAACGCTGACGTCGCCGGTATCCGATCATTGGCGGTGCTGCTCCGCTTACCAGGCGTTGTGGTCACGCCAAGCCGAGACCGTTGTCATGCTGTAGAGGCCTTGTGTATTCTGCTGCGCCGCCTCAAATACCCGACCATTTCTTCGTCTTGGTGTCGTGCTTGACACTCATTTTTCGAGCGCATCACCAAGCGCTTTGAAAGTTTATACATGTTGATGCATTGCTAGAGGTTTTTTGAACGACAGACTATCGTTCAGCCAGCCATTTTGCGGACATATGCATCAATTGTAGACAGGTTTTGTCGTTCCGGAATTTGATCATAGAGGTTTTTTCGCCTAGCGGAAAGAGAACGATATCGTTCATTGCGAAATCTCCTTATTGTCGATTGAAGTTATTCTATAAAGTGACAGTACCTTTTGCATAAGCTACACCGTTCATCGTAATTGGTGTGGATCCCCGAATAGTGTGGATTCGTAATTAGTGTGGTCCACACTATTAAGTGTGAGCACCAGGTCCACCCATCGAACTCCGCCACGGAGTTTCAAATGCAGTTGCCTCCATTGTAAAGACGTAATGCAGCCAAGTCTGTTCTCAGCGTCGCCGATCGAAGCTGCGTTCGCGCGGCAGAACGCGCGCATTGTTGCCCGTTCAGTCGCGGGTGAAGGAGTCGGTGGTGAAGCAGCCGGTGGTGAAGGAGCCGGTGGAGATGGCGTCGGTGGTGAAGGAGCTGGTGGTGATGGCGTGGGTGGTCATCCCAGAAAGCGCAAGCTTCAGCAGGTTGTCACAATCTCGGATCGAGTTCGGGTGATGCGGTGGATGATTAATGATGCCCTGGAAAATGGTGAGAAGGGTGTCAATGTGAGAA